ACAAACCATGAAAGCCTCAAATGCAACTGACAATATAGAGCCAGTGGGTCTTTCGAAGTAGGCTCAAGGTAGCTCACATCAGAGGATATAACACGTAGAGAATTGAGAAGGTTCGAAATGGCAAAAGCCTAAAAGTTGCGAAGGCAAACTTGTGCATAGGCGAAAACCGCAAGCATGCATTAAGGGACAAGGAAGGCAATGTCATAACCAATTTGCATACGTTGAGGTGGTGGAGGAGCTCTACAAAGAGCTGTACAGAAGCCGAAACAAACAGGATGATATTGTAAGAAGCAGTAATAGCCGCGAGGAATTTGACATCCTGCAGTAACGTCAGGGTAAGTAAAGAAAGCCCTAGAAGGAAGGCACAGAAGCAAAACCGCTAGTGAGGATAAGGTAACAACGGACCTGCTGAAACAGTGGGCGGAGAAATTGTGTTAGAAAAACTGACCACCTTGTATACAAAGTGTCTATTGACGTGAAGGGTGCCAGAATCTTGGAAGAGCGCCAACGTCATTTTAATTCATAAGAAAGAAGACGTCCAGCACTCGAAAAACTACAGGCCAATCAGGTTACTGTCCGTTCTCTGCAAACTGTTAAAAAAAAAATTGGCAGATCCCACGTACTGTGGAAATAGATTATATGCGAAGCACGAGTCAGGAAGGTTGATATGTTACTTTAAAGGGCCCGTAAGCCACCCAGAGATATGTAGATGTGGTGTTGTAGTTGTGTATGAGTCTACAGCAAAGGCTGGTGGAATTGCACGAGTTTTCTCGTTTGGCTCTTTACTTCGCTAGGCTTCGTTCGTTGGCTCGTTTGACAACCTTTTCTAGCGCCCTTCCTCAGTGTCCGAGGTGGAAGCGCAACAGGCGCGTGCATGTCCTAGCTGAATACAGCCTTTCTTTTGCCAAATGACAGCGTCTCTGGTACACAGCGTCGCTTGCATTGTACGCAGCGTCAGTTTACGTCATGCCAACTGTTCTCGATAGAGGAAAGACATGGAGAGCAGCACGCGAGCGTTTGTTGATGGTTTACGGGACCTTAAACACGAGCACACCGTTACGAGGTGGACCTAAATTGTGCCGTACATGACATATGGCACTTCCAAACATTGTAATGTTCGGAATCAAGTGTCATTTACCTCCGTCGTCTGCTCAAGTCACGTAATACCAAACTTCGTATATGTGCAGCTAGCAAAATGGCAGTGAGCACGCTATGAGCGTGGCAGGTAATCAAGTTTCACATGACACGCTCATCAAGATTATCATGTTTGGACGTGTCATTTACATTCGTCGTCTATTAACGTCACGCGATACCAAATTTCCTATATGCAGCTAGCGAAATGGCCACGAGCATGCTATGAGCGTAGCATGTAGTCATGTTTTACATGACACGCATAATATGATTATCATGTTTGGACATGTCATTTAGCTCCGTCATCTATTCACGTCGCCTGATACCAAATTTTGTACATGTGGAGCAAGCAAAACGGCCGCAAGGACTGTATGAGTGTAGCATGTAGTCCCGTTTTACATGACATGAATGTCATGGTTATGATGTTTAGACGTGTCATTCACTTTCACGACCCATTTACGTCCCGTAATACTGACTTTGGTATATGTGAAGTAGTTACATAACCACGAACGCACCATGAGCGTGGTGTGTAGTCGACTAGTCATAACATGAAAATCATCACATGCATGTCATGATTTACTTGTTAGGGTCTGTAACTTATGTTTGCTATGCAGTCATACCATGCCAGTTTTTCAAAATGTCCTGTGAAGGAAACCACCACAAAAGCAAACAGACCATGAAATGTAAATCATGACATTCATATCATGATTTTCATGTTATGACTAGTCAATTACGCTTGTCATACAGTCATGTTATGCCATACCAAGTTTGGTATTGATACCATTATCGAAACGGTCAGGAGAGTTAAAAGTCGTAGGCGGCTAGATAGATAGATTGATAGATAGATAGACAGATAGATAGATACACTCAAGGTCGCTGAAGTTTGCTAAGAAATGCTTTGCATATAATTGCTAATAGAATTAAAGTGATATTAGAGTTCAATCAACCAAAGAACCAAACAGGATTTTGTACAGGCTACTCCACAATAGAGCGTATTCGTACTATCAATCAAGTAATAAAGAAATGCTTGGAGTATGTCCAATCCTTATATATAGCCTTCAAAGATTACCAGAAGGCGTTTGCTTCAGTGAAGACATCAGCAGTAATGTAGGCACTACAGAATCAGGGCATCAAGAAACCGTACATAAACATACTGGAATAAATCTAAAGTGGATCCACATCCACCATAGTTCTCCACAAAGAAAGCAACAGAATTCTAATAAAAAAGTGCGTAAGGAAGTGGGACACAATCTCTCCAATGCTATTCAGCGCATGTTTGCAGGAGGTTTTCAAAGAGTTAATGGAGAGTATCTTAGTGACCAGCGATTCGCTGATGGCATTGCCTTGATACAGCTCATGATTACTGAACTGGATACGGAAAGCAGAAGAGTAGGTCTGAAAATTATTATGCACAAAACTAAAGTAATGTGCAACAGTCTCGGCAGAAAACAGCATTTTGCGATAAGTGGAGAGAAGCTGGAAGTTGTAAAGGAATATGTCTACTTGGGATGTAGTAATTGTGGAGCCGAACCATGAGATTGAAATAACTAGAAGAATAAGGATGGAATGAATCAGATTCGGCAAGCATTCTCAAATCGTGACGGTAATCTGCCACTGAGGAAAGTATATATAGCTGCATCTTACCAGTCTTTACCTACGGAGCAGAAACTTGGAGGCTGACAGGGTTCATTAAATTGAGGACGATGCAGCGAGTGATGTAAAGGAAAATGGTAGGCATAACCTTAACAGTCAAGTAGAAAGCAATGGGGGTCGAGGAACAAACCGGGTGTTAAGGATATCGTAGTTGTAATCAAGAAGAAGAAATAGACATGGGCTGGGCACGAAGCACGTAGGCAAGATAACCGCTGGAAATTATTGATAACCGACTAGATTCCAGAGAAGGCAAATGCACGAAAGGGAGACAGAAAGCTAGGTAGGCCGATGCGATTCAAAACGTTCGCAGGTATAACGTGGCAGCAGAAAGCACAAGACCTGGTTGATTGGCGGATTTTGGGAGAGGCCTTTGCCCTGCAGTGGGCTAGCCAGGCTCATGATGATGATGATTGTTCCAAATACATACATAGCTTTGTCCTCTCCGTGTGCTATTGCGACCTACCAAGCTAGAGAAATCCTAGCACTGAAATGATTTCAATATATTCTGAACACAGAGGCAGCCTAGCGCTCTTCCATAGCTGAAGGCACAGCACCCTAAATCTTGTCATAAGCGCCTCTATTGTGGACAGTGAAGACCATAGTGCTCAAAAGTCCTCTCGCTTTATTTCAATTGAAGCTTATTTTAGCTGACCAACTTCAGTGAAAGCATTACGCGAGAAACTCAGTGCCAGCAAGCTCACTGAAATGTGACCCGCGAAGGTGCTCTTGTCACATAGGTATTTGTAGGCACTTTATTTCCAATGATGCTCTCTCAGTTGTGGCCGTGTCAGAGATATGATGTTCTGGTAGTCGGTCTTGTCACGTGACGTTAAACATTTCATTGTTGCCTGGGTATGAGCGCCTCACTATCGTTGTCTGTAGCAAGTAATGCGCTCCGCTGCTAAGAACTTGGATGACGGGTCTATTCTCAGCATGGACGAATGAAACAGAAGACAGTACTGAGCAATATGAAAGAAAATGAAAGAAAGAAGAACATTATGGTAAAAAGGAGGAAATGAACAAACAGGCAAACAAATAAAAAATTAAAGAAGTGCATCAAGCATGCACAGGTAAATTTTTCCAAGCCCCTATTTTTCCGATAGGGTAAGGGCACCTGAGAATTCGAGGAATGCTTGCAGGACCGGTATCTTTACGGTGGGGCACAAAAGAAGTCCTTCTCAGTTGTTGCAGGCAGATCAAATGTACGGGGCACAATTCGAGCCCCACTCTCAAATAAGCTGGGGAACAGAGGGCATCCCGTGCATCTCTATGGCAACAAGATTGAAAGAAGTGATGAATCCTTTCCTCTAGATTACAGAAACAGCACAGAGTGGCAGTCACTGACCAAATCTGTGCAAGCAAAAATTAAGGTGCGGAAATGCCAAGGCAATTTCATGATGGCAACTAATCGTGACAGGAATCCCCTCTCTCCTTCTGGCTGCACACTTCAGCACATAACCGTGCGAAAAGTTCGCTTTTAAATTGGGGGGGGGGGGGAGTTGATTGCAGTGCTCCCCTCCCCATTAAGCCACTTTCACCTAAAGGGGGGGGGGCAGCTGCCCCTCCCCCCAGTGCGCAATGCTCAAAGGTATTGGGGGAGGGTAAATGAGAGTAACAAAAGAAAATGGAAAGGAGATGCCTTCTTCATCTCAACAAGGGAAAACCAGCAACACTGAGCACCAGGCCAGTGTTTCTCTCTTGCCGTGACAAAAACCAGTAGGTGCCCGACCACACTGGGAATCGAACCGGGTACATCACGCATTGAATGGGGACACTTTAATCACTAGTATACCAGTGTGGTTGTGCATGCCTAGGGCAGCACCAGTGCAAGGGGCAGGCAGAGGGGGGCTGAGCTCCCACAAAATTCTCGCTAGCCCATTTTTTACCTCCCCCCCCCCCCCCCGAATGAGGAAGCATAGCCAAAGCACAACGCATAAGTTCAGGGCATCCCTGTTCCCCTGAAGGAACACAACTGGTGCCTCCCTGCAGAAAAAAATATCCTGGCGCCACCCCTGTGTGCGTAACTGTGTCAATGCACAGTTATGACTCCTTAGCAGTTAAAAGTGCTTATCGAGAGTGCCTATAGCCAAAGGTGCCCGCACAAACCATTCATTTTCAATAAGCCCGAAGGTGCTGAGTGTGGCGAAATGTAGCCTTGTAGTTTACTGCTGCCTTAGGCATTTTTTACGGCGATACGAAAGGCAGCACTGGAACAGTTTTGTACAATAATTACACAGACTTTATTTTCCCTCTAGACAGCAGCTTTTGGTTTTCCCGGTTCTTGCGCGCCTTGGCCCTGTTGCGGTTCTTCACGTTGGCATAGTCGTAGAAGTGGTGGCCCACCTTTCGTACCTTCTTCGCCTCCATCTTTCGTCGCTTCTGCAAAGCAGAGAACACCAAGAGCGAAATTGCGAGACTAGCTCCCTGTTATCTTTGAAATGTAAATTGCATAAACTAATGAATTTTATACTGAGGTGCGATTTCACATAACAAAAGACCAACCTTGGCAACTTTCGTATATACAGTGATACCCCATTAGTATAACAATGTTTCATCTGACACAAGAAAAAGCACTTCGTTATATACACAAACTCCTTATAAATATATATTTGTAACAATTTATACATTACAATGATATTTCTGAGAAGTGCCACAATTATCCTAAAAGCAAATAAATCACATTAAAAATTACAGCAGGCCAAAAGCAATAACACGCAATTACTACGCTCGAAGTCATTTATAACAAACTCAAAAGTTCCACGAAAAAGGTCGTTATATCAGTAGTTCATTGTACAGGACTCTCCTTAAAAAACATGCTCTTAGCAACTAAGCTGAGGTTTTTTTGTGCATTTTTATCAAAAGGTGCTATATTTCCTTTGGTGACAAGTTAAGCTTTTGGTAACCAGCTAAGCATGCATTGGGTGTTGCATGGGTGTTGCATCGGGTGTTATCTCCTGCTCAGCTCACGCTGTCAATGCTGGGCGCTTGCCGTATGTGCGTGTTTGTGAGTTATTTGTGTCTGCTTCACTCGGGACTGCACAGCTGCACTGAAAAGCCTGTTTGTTCAACTCATAGCATCTAAAATCTGTGCTTGGCGCGCGCCAATGTAGGATACCTTCAGCACAAGTAAACTGGAGCAGGAAATACGCGAGCGCGTGCCTCTCTCCTGCTTTGTAGGGCCTGTTTCAAGTTTTCCTTCTCACTTCGTCTGTGCCATATTTTTACCGCGACCGTGTCCAAAGTACAGCCGAACAGAGATTTGGGCAAGTTGTTTGGTGTTCACTTTCACAACAGCACCACAACACGAGAAGGAAGCAGGAATAAATACCGTATTTACTCGCATAACCATCGCACTTTTTTTGGTAGAAAACTGGTGCAAAGTTGGGGGTGCGAGAATGACGCGGGAAAACTTTTCACGAAAACGTACAGAGCGAAAAAGAAAACAAATTGGCCGCAAAACGGGATTTTCACACCAGCAAGAAGCAGCAAGCTTTGAGAAGTACTAATTATAACTTACTTCAACAATAAAAGCACTGGTTCAACACAAGGCAAGATTTATTTGAGACACAAAACGTGCAAGCAAATAGTCTAGAATGAGAATACCATACGCAAAGCTTGTGGGCGTTACGGGCGTAGCGGTAGCGTTCATCACTCAACAGGAGCCCTCAAACGGTAAGCGTAGGACGTCAGTATTGGGCTGATAGCTATTTAACAGAATCGTCGGCAGTTTCCTTATGAAGAAATAAAGTTTACCATCAATCCCAGTCTTAGGCATACGGCAGGCCGCCGTCACTAGTAGCGAACACAAAACTCATCGACTCCAAAGGGCCTACTGGCAGCTTTGTTGCTGTTGTTTAGTGCATGATCAATCACTTTCAACTTGAAAGCAGCCGTGTAGCTTCAGTATCGCCCCATAACGCGACAAGATTACTGACACAACATACAAAACATGCCGCAATGCGCACTTGCAACTTTGGCTTGGATTGGATTGCATCTCTGTGCAATAATAATACGCTTGATGCTTAAGAGATGGTGCCAGATAGTGTGCGCTATCATCATCAATGGCTGGAATGAGCAGACGATATTATTGCAGCAATTTTGGGGGGTGCGATAATTACTTGAGGAAAAAAAGAAATCGTTTTTTTGTTGGGCGATGTGAGGGGTGCGAGAATTGTGCGAGGATTACGCGAGTAATTACGGCAACCAGGACAAGTGCCGACTCCCAACATGCTCCGAAGTGTATGTTGTGTATGTAAATTGGTAGTTGTAAAAGTAAATGACTTTCAAAAATGCTCATCATATACTGAAACAAGGTCACTATAACTGTTATATCATTACATCTGGGATCATTATCGGTGGGTTCGACTGTATTACTTTTAAAAATGCAATGAAGTAACTTTGAAAAAATTCCTCATTCATGACTCATCATTCATGACCCATGTACCTGTTATTTGCAGCCCATATATAGAAATCTAGAAAATCTTTGTTCTATTTCCCACGCTTGAGGCTTGGCATGCAGATAAACTGGCCCTCGTTATCTCCGAGTTTTTGGACAATTTGATATGCATGAATGGAAGTGAGCGTCTTACAATTTAGTGAAAGATAACTGGGACTGTATGAGTATTATTTCCAAAATTAAATGCTTGAAGTAATTCGTTATACTACTATGTTGCCAGTCCATGAAAATAATTTAGCATGATACTCACTACTGCAAGAAGTAATTTCATTGCTGTGTCATTACTGCCAGGTCTGAAATTCTTTGTTTACTTCGATATAACCAATAATTTGCTATAGCCATGATGGTTGCATAAAGATTTGCCTGACGCTTCAAGGAAAACACTTTTTTGTACACAAAACGTTCCAGAAAAAAAATGTGACAGGGTGCGCTCTGCTGTATTTCAGTTTATTCCCTTAAATGCCAACTCCGGCGATTTTCTTGATCATGTCAGGATAATGGTGATTTTATGTCACTTCGACACTCTTCTCACGTGCCCGATAATTGAAATGCTCAAGAAATGTGAAAATAAGTTTTAATTACCGAAAAACTGCAGCACGGAAACTGAAATCCAATCGAGTGTACTTGTACATGTGACGTAAAGATTTGCCTGACGCTGCCGGAACCTGCCTAATTCCACATATTGCCCGCCCAATGGCACTACCCGTCCACGCCGTCTGCGGCGATCGGCTAAATCGCTTACGCTGTTATGCTGAAGATATGGTGAATCGTGTGTGGCTCACAACGCAACACCACTTGGCTCCTATTGCACGCCCACCAACACGAAAAAGGAAATCGCACGTCCAACCAAAGAAGCGCCGGCCAAACCCACACAATCCATAGCAGACAAGCAGACGCTGCAGTGGCACATCAGTTCGTCACTTCCGCCAGGCAAACTCGACGTCACTCACACAATGTTGCCATTATTTCTGGCAAGCGGGGTGAGCGTTTCGAGGCAAGCTATAAAATTCATTTGAAAAGAATTAGCGAGACTCCCAAGCCTACAATTTAGCATGAATGGCAGAAACATGCAAATGAACATACACAGTGAATTTAATTGAGATCCACTGAACTCGAAAAATCGCCGGAGCTGGCCTTTAATAAATGTTTCGTCAACGAAAAAGGGTTTCCCCTCAAAGGGGCACTTAAAAAAAAGTTCCATTTTATTTTTTGATCAATTTTGATGAAACTACGCAAGTTTATGTATATTGGTGTGCTGATTTCATACATGCAATTATTTTTTTTTTTGTACGAAGAGTATTTATTATTATGCAGGATATTTCATGTGCCTTTTGGGGAGAAAGTTTTTTTTATACACTAAGAGAGTTACAGAGATAATTATCATATGACAACAATCAGGAATCAGAGCTGATTGCAGTGCAAGAAGAAAAAAAAATGGATGTTCTAAATGCATCAGAAGAAAATTACGGAATGCTGAATATTTGCCAGAGAAATCCCAGCTTAAAATTGACTCATTCACAAATGTCCAACGAACCCTAACTTTAGTTAAAATAGATTTAGAAAGTCTGTTTTTTTTGCACTGCAATCAGCTCAGACTCCCGATAATTGTGATATGCTAATTTACTTCGTAGCTCTTTTGGTCTAGCAAAAAGTCTTGATCCTCAAAAGGCACACCAAATATTTTGTATTTTAAAAAGTACACTTTATCTGCGAGAAAAAGACTTGCATATTTGGAATCCATACACAGAAATACGTAAGCTCACTAAGTTTCATCAAAATAAATGAAGAAATGAAAAACTTTTTTTTTTTAAAGTGAAGTGTCTACTTTTAAAAATTCGGTAAGAACCAGCCGAAACATCTAACCTGTTTAGTATTTCCACTTTGACATGCACATACCTCTTTGCCGGTAAGTCGCCTAGCGGGTGCCTCATCGTCCTCTCTCACAGGTTTTCTCCGCTTGGCCATCGAGCTCACTACAAACGTGCCGCTGCTGGTCACCTGTTCAGAAGTGATGAGAACAAGACATGATTCGTCGCCCTGCAAACACCACAGTTTATTGTGCATGGCACAAGGGCCATACATAACATGATGTCACTAGAAACCAGTGTGTGATCGGTGATAAAATCGAACAGCAAAGGTGCCCAAATAGTACATTTTAAGGTTCGAAGCGAACAGTGACTTGGTCAAATAGTTTCAAATGAAATAGCTCGAACGCAATGTGCAGTTGAACCCCTTTATAAGAGGCATGCACTGGGGAGCAATCATTGCCCCTTATATGAGGTCTCTTGTAAGCAGAGTAGCATGTATGCATTTTCTTATCAGCCCCTATTTGAATGCCGGCACACTGGCATCTTTTATACCTATTTATCTGTTACATCAATGTCTCTTATAGATGGGTTAGACTGCATATATCAAATATTATACAGAAAAATAGGCATTGTTGTCATGAACCAAATAACTTGTACAATATTTCTTGACAAATGGAACTAGGCATGTGCGGATGTCACTTTTCCGGTTTGAGGTAAGTCGAAAGCAGCTTGCATGGGAGCAAGATTTGAATACTAGCAGGGTGCAGGTGATAAGCCGTATAATTCGTTAGCTTTTAAAATTTATTATATTCAGTGAATATAAGCCCGTATAACAAGCTTTCAGACTAAAGAAATAGTTAATCGAGGTGAAAGTAATATGTAAACCTCTAAATGTGGCTTCACTGAAGTGCGGAATTTTCATGGCAACCCTTCGCTGAAGTCAAATCACCCTTATAGGAGGCTACATGCGGCCAGATAGGTTCATTATTTTCCAATACTTCGAAAATTTCAAGCAATTTAACTTCATGTCAAAGCGAAATTTAATCCTGTGACGCTCGTTCGAACATTCAACCCTCTCGAATATTTGCCCTATGCCTTTCTAATAGTGCTGTACAATGACACCTGCAGCTGAAATAGAGCCGAATAATTAATGGCTACACGGGCGACATAACTAATGCATGGAAAATATGGTCATACATGTGGCTAAATAAATTACGTCCATATCAACAACAAAATTTTACAACAATAACAGCTCGACTCATAGCATTTAACTCATTATCCACCCATGTTAATGGGCAAATAGATCACTCATCTCACAAGAAGGTATAACTTGGTTTTATAAATCTGCCAATAAATCAAGATAACAGCAAATATCGATGCATTAAAAACACAAAACCACCAAATTTTCATTATGAGCATCAATGAAGCAACTTTGTGGCATATTAAAACCTCTTAGCTTGTTTACTGCTATCATTTTCTAAAAGTTCCTGTATAAGAACCGACATAAAAAAAATAAGAGACCACTACCACTAAGTCTGAGAAAACTTTATATTTACCGCCAATTTGCAAGTGTATTCAGTGGACGCGCAATACTGTACATGTTGTTAGCTTTTTATACAACAGGCCAGAAATCCTAGTTAAATTATTTAAATGCTGGCTGCTAAACCTGCAGGAATATTATGCTTTTTTTTGCATCTTCTGGTTCATAAACTTCTGATGCTGAGTGTACTAGGGCTTCAATTATACCGCATTACATTGAATGAACGCTTACATTATTCAGTGTCCCAGATGTGCCCTCACAAGCACATCCATCAGTCGTCTAGAACTTCGAACAGGCACATGGTCACTATGATTAAATGATCGAACATGAGGACTGTTGGAGGTTTACAAAATGATTCGAGCCACAGCGCAGTGCAAATAATTTGACTCCACTGATTCAAAATCAGCACTTCAAGCTATCCTTTCTTACTCAAGAAGAGGCCAATTTTACGAGTTAACGTTAGGAATCGTCCAAACATTTGACCTAACACACAGGAGTGGTCACTTGATTACACTCCAATGGATTCCTGGACACTGCGGCCTGGTTGGCAACGAAACAGCCGATAGCGAAGCAAGAGCGGCAATATACAACGCTCCTATGTACGTCAAAGTACCCTACTCGCGAGGTGACGTCAACACATTGTTGAGATCACTCATGCGCGAATCCGCTGCCACTTACTGGTCGCTACCAGATCACCGGAACAAGCGCCTGCGGGAAACAGACCCCGGTATGACTTTTCGTCTTCCAGATAAAATCAGCCGAAGACATGCTAATATACTGCACCGAATTCGCCTGGGCGTCGCCTTCACTCTCCACTACACCCACCTAATCGGCCGTGCGGACAGATTGTGAACGCTGCCAAGTGCGCGAAACGATAGCTCACATATTTTGTGACTGTGCATTATACGTGGCGCAAAGAAAAATGCTAACTGCAACGTTGGCAAGCATTGGACGAACACCATTAAGTGAAAGCCACATATTGTCAGCAATGAACGACCAAACAGTGTCAAAAACTGCTACAAAGGCTGTTCTAGACTTTATAAAAACCACTGGACTAGAAACTAGACTGTAGGGTACTATGCTAAGTGGCTACTGTACATACGCACCACCTCTTCTTGTCCCCATCATCATCCTTCATCCCTCTTTCCTTCCCCTTTCCCTTGTCGCCTGTGTAGAGTAGCAGGCTAGAGCGAACTAGCTCAGGCCGACCTCTCTGCCTTCTAATAAATTCTCACTCACTCACTTGACTCCACTGACACCAATTCTACCTAAACAGTACCACATAATGAAAATGGCTGATCCCGAACAGTTGAATTTTAAGCTTTGTGAAACACTGTTTCTCAAACTGTTCATTTTCAGGAGCAGTGAAAGTTCTCCTTTCATACAACAAAAATTAGCTCCACTGATGCTCTGTGGTACTGTCCCCACTCCATGCTACTTCCCATATCCTCTAAATAATTGATATCAAACTCAGGTCAACAAGAAGGCTGCAGTCGCAAAATTTATTCTGTGACAAGGGCCAGGCCAATGGTGAAAATTGAGCAGGGGAGAGAGGAGGGAGTACTAGAAAAAGAAATTTTGCATATCTAACATGTGGGTAATTTTTTAAAGAAGATTTCATGCCAGAATTTGAAAAAAACATATTGATACTGATCTACATAATGATTGATATCCGGACGTCAATTCTGAAATGTAGAGCTTTTGTTCCATGTTGACTGCATGGTGTGCCTCGCAGAAAAAAATGCCAGACACCAGTCGCATCTGTGCATCTCATGAACATACTTAATAGGGAAATAAAATACCAAGCCTGTGTGAAATGCATGACAAAGTCCCAGCAAAAGCTCAAAGAGAGGTTCTTCTACAACCTTATGTAAGCCCTTTTGGCTTAACTACACTCGAAGCCCAATATAACGAACCCAGATATAAGAAATTACAGATTATAACAAAATAAGTGACGAATAGCTTTGTCGCTGATACAGTATTAGGAATATAAGTATATAATGAATTTTTGGATATAACGAAGCATTTTTGCAGCATATGAGCCATATGAGATTTGAGATACTACAAGTGCATTTTTGTGGCACTCACTACACTATGAGTCGTCATAATTTTTGTGACATAAGGAAGCACCCACTGCACTACCATTTGTTACTCTGCGGAGAAGTGAGGTACCTGCAACACATCTGTAAGATATTATGCGCAATTTGTTGATGCAGCAGCTGCTGACAACAAAAAATTGTGGCTGAGCCCATCGTAATGGGTTTAACGTCTTGAAGGGACAATAAAGAGCAAAATGACTATTCGCGTATTAGTAGAGCACAATTTCACAATACCGAAAACTACTCTGACCGCGACACCATGCTTCATAAGCGAGAAGAAGTGTGAAAAGAAGATGCGGGTGGCGACGCCACCTTGACATTCCCACACTAAACACCGTGGCGTAAAAAATTCTGAATGCATCTACTGGTTCTTACGTTGCTTACAATCGATAAAAGTGAAGTACATTGTAATGTGTGAGCGCCAGGCGTCATAGAATTTGCATAACAACTTTCAGAAAATTTCATCGAGCCAATGTTATAAAAATACATTTTGAAATTTGTTACGTCACCCGTGAAGATTTTGGTGCGTAGTTCAAAATGAAACCTCAACCTTGATTTTCTCCATTAATAATGAACTTATGATAGTCAAACACATAGCATTAGAATTCTTAGGGTGCAGTTGGTGAATCTGAACTAATAATTTACTCCTCTTTAGTGTCTCTTTAAACAACCTACTAGTAACACGATTTAGATTGTGTGATGCCTGGTTATTTTACTCTTCTAAAACACTCTATTACACATACTAAAATGTCTCCTTTCCCGACATGCAGCCTGCATAGGACCTGTTTGCAAAAGATTTCCAAGCACTGGAATGGTTCTATTGTAGAATACTGAGCTGCCTTGCAGAAGGCTTGGGTTCGAATCCCATTCTCTCCAGAACATTTTTTAGGAGCAAAGCCGCTTAGGATGTGGGTCGTTCCCTCCTCAGTAGTAGTAGTAGTATTAGTAGTAGTAGTAGTAGTAGTAGTAGTAGTAGTAGTAGTAGGTTGTAGCCATCTCTAGTTTATGAATTACGTACTCAATAGATGGCATTGTGTGTATATGTCCTTGGAAATATTATCACTAGATGGTTTTAGTGGTTTTTATGTAGTTGATGATTTCATATAGTTGACAGCCAGACGTACTTACAGACAGACAAACGAGCGGATGCTTCACCCCCCTCATTATTTCACTTCTTGAATATGCTGTGAATTTTTAAAATTTATTTTGTTTTTTCCTCTGTTGGTGATAGCGATTACGGACACCAACGGCGGTGGCAGCATATAACTATGGTGCCAAAACAATCATTGCTGAATTTGTAACAGCCTTCGATGTAATAAATGGATTGGACAAAAGCAGTCATGCGTGCATCTGGATGCTAGTGAAAGGTCTGCGAGCCATCGTGTTTGAGATCCCCTGCTGAAAACCAACGTTAAACATTCGTCAAAGAGAACTGCTGTATTAAGAGAAAAAAGATTTAACCTCACTGTACAAAAAAGAAGTACTGACGACTGCACCTACCAGAGAAGTGGCTCTCTTTTGTTTGTCATCCTCGTCCGACGAGTCGGCCGCTTCCAAATTCACAGTTGCTGGTACAGCCACTGGAGCTTTGTCTACGCTCGAGGGCATCGCTCTCAGGTTTTCTGTTTCTTCTTCGGTAGAAACTGGGCCCAGGGGCTCTGGGCCATCTTTCTCCCAATGAGATCGCAGAGTTCTACAGTGCTGCGAATCCGCGCCAGACTTTCTCCGCTTCTTGGCCGGTGGTCGATTGGCGGGAATGCCGACGGCGTCGGCTTGTGCCGCATTGGAATTCTTCTCAGCTTCACTTGGTGCTTGTTCCCTTTTGGGAACACTCGAGGAGTCCTTGAACTCCTCGGTCTCGTTCTCTGCAGCTGAATGTACCTTCACTTCGGCAGGTATACTGCCCGCAACTTCTTTGACAGCAGTTTTTGCGACTTTCTCTTCATTTTCCCGCTCTGTAGTAGCTGGCGAACCTTCAGAGACATCTCCTTTCTGTTCACTTTGAGGAACAACTTCTGAAGATTCGGACTCAACAAACAGACCACCAGGGCCCAAATCTGACTTAGAGTCGTGCCCTTCGTTCTCTTCTGCTGAAGACTTCTCAACTTCAATGAATGAGTTTTCGGATGGTGCCTTGTCCTTGGTCCTGGACTTGCCAGTTGCTCCTGGAGTTGTCTTGATACCATCGGGTGCCTGAAGGTCTTCGGCCACAAAGTGCGGGCCCACCCGGATTTCGTCCAGGTCTTGACGCACCTTTGCAGCTATGGCAATGTCACCGGAGGGCTCCGCATTCTCCTGCGTCACGGTGGACTCCTGCAAAAATTAGAATTCTGTAAAAGCACTACCAAGCATGAGCCACAAGACGCTGTGAGCACTGGCCTAGCTTGTGAACTCATCAATTGGTTTTTTAATGGCAGCATCAAAAGGCATGTAAACTTACATATTAGCAAGCTTTCATACATGCTCACTTGTTCTGTGCACCGTATTTAAAATATTGTTAGCTGACCTATTTTATCTAAATCTGGAAGTCAAAGTTTGGGGGTGACTTACAATCGAAACTAAAAGTATAGTACTGCCAGGAATAGCAGGAAAAATTAGAAATTAGGGATGCTGTGATCTCACTCGTACTTTGAGGGAGGAAAAGAAAAGTATTGTTTTGTTTTTCACCTTTTACCAAGCCACTATTCTCTGTCAGGAGTGCCACTGCTGATTGAGCTCTTCAATCAACGATAGACACTTCCATAAGCACTGGGTGTGCACCAGTTTTGAAGTGCCAATCGCTGATGGAAAAGGCCTTGTTCTAATTAGCAGCGACATTCAGTGGTGAACAGTGGCTTAGGGGAGATTTGTTTTGGGGGCACTGGTAGTCGATGAAAAAGCTTCTCTTTTTCACCCACTTCTTTCTTGCTATGTTCTGATGGCTGCATTTGGCAAGTGGACCCGAATCAATATCTGCCCCAGCCAACCCAGCTGTCCCTCACTTCGTCGCATTGTCCTTCGTCATCTCCTCCTTTCTCGACTTCTACTCTTGCCACGCGTGTAATGCACGATTTGGGTGCCAGCGTGCCGAATCTGCCGGACTCACTAAGCTTTATTATCTATTGTGTGGAGGTGAGCGTAGACTAAGGAAGTATGCGTAGATTCACTGATGCCTGGAATGATTGGCATGCCACTGTTCTGCTTGGCTTCATCGCCATAAATGTACCCGGCATAAATAAAAAAGAAAAAGAAGACCATTTACCGTATCTACTCGCATGATCCTCGCACTTTTTTTGCCGGAAAGCGGATGAAAAGTTGGGGGGTGCGAGAATTACGCGGGGAAAACTTTCTACGAAATTGTACAGAGCGAAAAAGAAAACGAAGTGGCCGCAAATCAGGATTCTCACACCAGCAACTAACAGCAAGCTTTAAGAAGTACTAATTAAAACTTACCTCAACAATAAAAGCAGAGGTTCAACACAAGACAAGATTTAATTGAGACACAAAAAGCGGAAGCAAATAGTCGAGAATTAGAATACCATACGCAAAGCTTGTGGGCATTGCGGTGGCGTTTCGTCGCTCAACAGGAGTCCTCGAAAGGTAAACGTGAGGCGTCAGTATTGGGCTGACGGCTATTTAACAGAATTGTCCGCAGTTTCCTTCTTAAGAAATAAAGTTTACCATCAATCCCAATTTTAGGCACACGGCAGGCCTACAGCGTCTTGGTGGCTTTCAGCAGCCATCATTAGTAGCGAACACAAAACTCGTAGACTCCAAAGGGCCTACCGGCGACCCTGTTGCCGTTCTTTAGTGCATTATCTATCACTTGCAACTTGAAAGCAGCCGTACAGCTTTAGTATCACCTCATAACGTGACAAGGTTACTGACGCAACATACAAAACACGCCGGAACGCGCACTGGCCACTTCGGCTTGGCTTGAGTTGGATTGAATCTCTGTGTATTGGTATGCTTGGTGCTTAAGAGATGGTGCCAGATGACGTACGCTATCATCATCAGTGGCTGGAAAGAGCAGACGACATTATTGCAGCAGTTTTCGGGGGTGTGATAATTACTCGAGGAAAAAAAGAAATCGTATTTTTGTTGGGCGATGTGGGGGGTGCGAGAATTGTGCGAATAAGAGGATTACGGGAGTAAATATGGTACTTAGATATAATTGATGTGTTATTATACAGTAAAAGCTCGTTAATTCGAATTCCACGGGAACGCTGAGCAATTTCGAATTAAACAAAATTCGAAATAATGAAAGTGAGCAAAAATAGGTGGATTTCGGGGGTGGTGTCACGAAAAATATTTATTGGCCAAAAAAGTCGGTGATGACCATCTGCTTCTTTTCTATGAATGCCACAGCTGCGGCTCTCTGTTCCAGCGCGCGGACGCGGCGCAGGGAATCCTCTTCACCCTCTTCAAAGCTGAAGAAGAGACGCGCCACAATAAGTGCCTCCATTCCCGCAGAAGCTGACGGGCGCACAGGCGCTTCGTCATTTTCGTCTTCCTCACCTTCTGGCTCTTCAGCATCAGGCTGCGCACCGGCTACTTGAGCGATAATGTCCTCATCAGTCAGGGCACCACACACCGATGCACCGGTGTCAACTTCAACATAATCGGCAAAACGTACGCCCCGAAGAGTGTCGCGCAATGCCACTGGCACGAGCTCCTCAGCCCCATCCACGTCCACGTCACAACTATCCTGCGCACTTCCAGCTGCAAATCCACTGTGGCGGAAACAGTTTGCGATTGTGGTCGCGGTCATCTGTTCCCATGCGCGCACCAACATGTGCATGGCAGTGAGCAGCGTAATGCCGAAGTCCTTCCTGTCGCCCGCGCACAAAATCATTCTCTCCAGCACGTGATGCCTATAAAAGCACTTAATGTTCCTTATCACACCCTGGTCCATTGGCTGTAGGGCCGCAGTCATATTTGCCGGAAGGAACACCAACTTAATTGCTCTCAGCTCAATGTCGACTTTGCGCACCGAACAGTTGTCGACGACAAGAAGAACGCGTCTGCCACCCAGCTCCATTCGCCTGTCGAATTTCAGTAGCCACTTCCTGAATAGGTCACCTGTCATCCAGGCTTTCTTGTTTGCGGCGTACTCCGTCGGCAGTGAGCGAATGTTTTTGAAGCACCTTGGCTTGAGTGCTTTGCCAATCACAAAAAGGGGGACCTTTTCCGTACCGGTCATATTTGCGGCACTGTGGCTTGAGTGCTTTGCCAATCACGAAAAGGGGGACCTTATCCGTACCGGTCATATTTGCGGCGACCAGAACAGTGACACGCTCTTTGCTGCGCTTGCCGCCGGCACAGCTGTCTCCCTTGTAGGTGATCGTCTTGTCTGGCTGCAACTTGAAAAATAACGCTGTCTCATCAGAGTTAAACACATCCTGTGGTGAGTAGCTCTCCAAGTACTGCTGCAGGGTGTCGCTTCTCCAAGTAGTGCATGTTTCGGCGTCTACTTCCTTTGCCTCGCCGGATAACGTGCGGAATACGAGATTGTGCCGCTCCCTGAAACGATGAAACCATCCCTCGGAGGCGACAAAGTCTTTAATGTCCAAGCGCAGGGTGAAATCGGCTGCCTTGGCCATGTTGACAGGGCCGCTCAATGTAATACTCTGGGCTCTCATTTCTTTAACCCAGATAATCAAAGCTGACTCCAGTTCCGGGAATTTCGCTGTCCTTAGCCTTTTTCGACTGGCGCCAAAATCCTCGGCTTCATAGGCGTTTTCAATGGCCGTCCTGTTGCGTATGTAGGTTGACAACGTGCTCGGAGGTATGCCGTGCTTCCTCGCAATTTTGTATTTGCTCGAGTTCCCTTGGTCAACCTCTCGCAAAATCTCAATCTTCTGCTTGACAGTCTTCGCGCAGTAGTTTCCCCGCGGCATCTTGCAACTTCGATGGGGAATAAGACGGCTTGACGGCGTGAACGAACAACGTGCTCAAGAAACAAAGTGACGCTGCCGGGAGCGGCCTAGGGCTGCTAGGACTACTCCGCCGACTCCTCAGCGTCCCGTGGGTCCCGCGTACAAGTGGCGCCAGGTGCTGAGATAGCGGGAGGGCTACGGAAAAAAAAAAATGCTCCCTGGATTTTGGAGGCCATACTTTGCTCGCCCTTTGCTTGGAGGCTACTTGAAGCTCAAAAAAACTGGTCGTGCCACCTATCGTTTGACCGTAAAAGATTCCACTAGTGTTTGACGATGATGACGCTCGGCGGAGCGTGCTTCGAATTATCCGTAGAGGCAGCAATTTCTCTTCGAATTAACGAATCGTTTTACACATGGTCTCCTATGCACTGCGGACCGGACTGCGGCGACCATTTCAAATTATCCATAATTTCGAATTAATGAGGTGTGAATTAACGAGCTTTCACTGTATCCGAGTTCATTATATCGCAGTTTAAGTGCACATGCCAACAAAATGAACAGCTGCATGGCAGGGTGCAAGTTTGGAGTTTCTGAACGAGTGATGTGACAGTGGCGACAGCAGGGTGACCAAATTGCACATGTCATGCCACGTGCCGAAGCATTCGAAGCATTCAAATATTTGCACAAGCCTAGTTTTGCGACTTCCTTTTCTCGCAATCGTTTATCCGCAACAGTGGTATCTGTTGTGATGTCGAGCGGCACCCAGAAGCGTATGCTACGACGCACTTTGCCAACTTCGTGGCAACCTCGCACGACAACCGCGATGTCCCCATTGACATTGCAGCAAGCTACCATCGAAGCATCAAAACAAGCCATCGATAACAAGATTAACGACAAAATATGGCTGCTCCCATGAGAAGTTCACATGAGTTCACACGCTGTTCACATGAGATGTTACTGTACAAAAAGTAGCCTATATCTAGCGTTCCTTAAACTACGCGTGGATAACAAGCAGGAAGAGCAAATTACAACTGAAGTGAGAAACGGAAGTGAGAATCGGGGGTGCTACCATGTTGAGGAAATCATCACAATCTTTTCTGAGTGACAAGGGATTTTTTTCTGATTTTTCAGAAACCTGTGAAGCGATGGTGACGAATGGTCCTTCGAGACAAATCATGGTGACAGCAAATCCTGTCGTCGTCACTCGAAAATAACGGGCATGTTGGTGGGCCTTCAAGTTTCGTATTCGCAGGAAGCGACTGTCGGGTGGCGCGGGCGGTTTCTTGAGCTTTGCTTGCTGTGTGCGTCAGCTGCAATGTCTTTACACTCGCACTTTTCGTGAACCCCGCTATGGCGCACAGATAATAAAAAAAATAGAGGACACGTTCCACGCACAGATAAAACAACAACAACAACAATACGGCATGTGGTGGCGGCTGAAGGGGCGGAAGGGAGTGAGCTGAGATGGCCGAAGGGGATCGGCATATTAATAAACAACGAAAAAGAGCCAACGGGCAAGGAGGCGCCAGGGGTTGGTGAGCAGGGTTGCAGCAGATGAATGCAGGGGTGCATTCATTGCCCGGGGGAGAAAAAAAAATCCAGATTTTGACGACTGCAGTTGGGGGGGGAGGGGAGGGGCGTATAGCGCGGGTGCATTCATTACACGAGTAAATACGGAAGCTGCAAAGTCACTCCATACCTCTCCACCGGGTGGCTTGACGAAGTACGGCAGTTTTCCTCTCTGCCAGTCATTCAGCACCATTTTGGCGACTGTGGAGATGTCAGGTTCTCCGCCCTGAAAAAGTGACAAGCAACGAAAAGAAATTTTGGCGACTGTAACATTCTCTAAATGTGCCTAACGGTATAGGCACTAGCACATAGCATTCGGTGAACTTTGGTTGACTTAAATACACAATGTTTACTCTCGGCTGTGGACTTCTATAGCTTCACTGTATTCCTGGCCGTCAATCAAGTTGTTATACTTCCCTCTGTATGGCCTACACAATCAACTTCGACTGCATGCCATCATAATGCCACATTTAATTCAGTGGTCATGCAAAAAAAAGTGTGCTGTCAGGAGTTGCTCTGTCTAACCAAACCCTAATAACCCAGAACCCTAATAACCTCGCAGCATTCGGTGGCATTATACGTGAATAACCTGGCACCTGCAAGCGCAAAGAAATGTGGCTCTGTAAGATGTGCTGGTCAATTGAGTTAGTTTGCACTGTTTTTCCTATAAATCACGCTCTCTTAATCTTGACTTACTGGCATGCAATTGTACTGGATATGATAATCCGATCTTTCACCCAGGCGACTTACCATTTCTCTCTGCTGCACTTTATTTGTATCTGGACATCAACACTCGACTGTCATTGTTGAAAGCAGCAAGGGAAGTGTTGTGCTGCCAAGCATCTAGATAAAGGTTCAGTTCCCACCATGCAGGAAGGAAAAGTAGGAAGTAACGTTGCAAGTTGCAAAAGAAAGAAAGAATGTAATGCATAATGCCATGTGTGCGCACACGGCAAGCTTTGCTTTCTCCCTATTTTCCTGACTGGAAAAGGGTCCGTGAATTATATCTTTTAAAAGCCCGATGTCTGCATCTGCACTGCTAGTTTAAAAGAGAGCATCAGGCTGTCCGTACCTTGAGCAGCTTGCCAGACCTCCTGCCCAACTTTTCGAGGAAGTCCTCCGGGTTGTCCCACGAGTCAATCTTGTACGTCTTGACGATGTACTCAGGCCTAACACGGTCTAAGACTTCTGGGATGTGGTCTTGGGGGTCCTCAATGTTCTCAACACGAACCTGGGATTGTGCAGAGAAGAAATTAGTCTTTTTTTTTTTTCAAAAGCACTATGTAACAGTATGGCCTGAAAGAAAAAAAAATGCTCGAAAGACAGAACCAAATATATGCAACGGCTAACCAACCTACTATCGCGGCAAAACATTAAGATGAAAATGTTGCCGATTTTCAAGAACATTGTTACATAATGAATGAAAGCAGGGGAGTCAATTGTGGGCTCATTTTGTTTGTTCATACCTGTCAAGTCTAAAGAATCTGAGCCTAGGAGATTTCCAAAATGACGGGGGAGAGATTTAACTGCCAACCACACAAACGTAAAATATGGTCGAAATACTGGGACTCTCCCAGAAAATTCTGGAGACCTGGCAGGTATGTTTGTTAGATGTGACTGAATTAAACCAACAGACAATGAAGCCAAGAAAGGCATATGGGAGATTATTAACAGTTTCACACTGTACTGCATGCAGTAATAATTAGAAAGATAGAGAGGAACTGAAGCGACTAGAAAAACGGCTTGCTGCCAGTAGGGACCACACCTAGAACCTTCCAACAGAGCATCTGATGGTTTACCAACTGAGCTACGGCTATGGCTACAATACTGTATGAAGAAAATGTTACTACATGACTTTAATTACAGACAGTTTGAAAGACTTGGCATGCTAGCATCACTTTAACAAACAGAATTTTACAGAAGGGCACAACTGGGTACTCACCACTCCTTTGAGGACTATCTCCGTGTCAGTGTCACCGGTGGGGTAGACGACACCAGGACAGTCAATCAGGTAGATCTTGCGCATTAGCGTGATGTACTGCCACACCTGTAAGGCAGGGTGAATGTAATGTAACCCGGCCGCAGGAATGGCACACTGGCAATTTATAAACAGTGAGTGAGTTAAGATAGAGGGATGATGCCGTAGTTGTAACACTGACTGAGCAGCCTTTATTTAAAACAATCAGCAGACCTTGGGCTGAAAGGACAAGAGCTTGTCAACAAGTCAGTAGTTGAGATGCAAGCAAAACCGGCCGTGGCAGTGAGGACAGAAGGGGTAGGTAATTCAGGCACCTAACGGTAAGTGGCATCGCGTGAGGCAGTGCTGCACATCTGCGTATGTCTATGAACAGTTGAAGCACAGTTGCATGAGGGTGTAACAGCAAAAATAAAGTGCGGCTGGTATACAGATTTTGCTGAAATCTATAAGCAAAGGATTCAAGCTTTACGAGTCAATATAACAAGCACAATTTTTCGCGCGTTTAGCGTCCTTTTACAGCATTTTATAAGCTCTGACATTGCTCATTATAAGAGGTCTAATCCAACGTACCACTGCACCCAGAACTACAGCGCAAGCAAGCTGGTAAGCTGGCACATGGCTAAAAATACTGGAAATATCTATCAGACCAAAGATCGACCGAAGGATTAGAGAATGAGGGCTCAAAACAGTGACTGTGGCACAGCCCAGGTGTTTCTGAAGTAGACACCCAGGAACACACCTTTTGGGAGACACGCACATCTCATTAGCGTGCATAATGAGGTGTATAGGATCACAGAATTATCCCTTATTCACAAACTTTAGGGCAATTTAACGAAAATGAAAACTTCAGAGACAAACTTCAAGCTGCCATATGAACTACTACCATTGGGAAGACAGCCATCAATGGGGAACTTCAAAAATTGTTTCTTTGCTTCAAACACAACACTAAAGATGAGCCAATATTCAAAATTTTGAGTTTTTTTCTAATAGTGCGTATTATTCGATTCGATTCACACTGAAATTCTACGATTCAGACTTTTTAAATACAAATACATTCAATGTTTGATAGGCAGTGGCTTCTTCAGATTTTCACTAATTTTCACCGGTGCCATTCTCGTATTGCAGCAAAGCTGCCTTTCAAGGTCGGCTGCGGTCGCAAATGTATTGACTCAAGAAAACGCTGGTCCCAACATGAAGACGCTAGATGAGGCAGAGGCTCTATAATACTTTTTTGGACCTGAAATTCGGAGTCGCAAAAATTGAACACCAAAAACTTTAGCATCCAAAACTGCAGATGTTTAGAAGCAGATTTGCAACTCCGGAAGAGAGCACACCTTGTCCACCACATCAGTCAGGCCTCCAAAAATGTTGAGAGGAGAAGGATACAACCTCTTTGCCTTTCACATGTAAAGACAACACCTTGGTTGCACCAAATCATTTAACATAACTACAATTCAGTTTGTGCATTGACTCCTTCTTGATAAGACAACTATGAAAGACTACCTTACCAATGTTTTATTCATCTAGCGAAAATAAATGCTTTCATGTTGCTATCTAATAAGAATGTGCTTAGGAATCTTCTCTCACATTTATTGCAATTTCATTTCCAAGTATTCGAAAGATATTCTAGAAGAATTAAAAAAAAATATTTCATTCGTACTCACACTTCGATACTCATATCAGCTTCGCCATGAAAATTTTGATATTTGCACAGCTTCATAAGATGTGGAATGATAAAACTCGCATTAGGGAAAAACAATTTATTTACTTTCAATTGAGTTGTAAAATCGATTTTTAATTGGAGTGTCTAGTGGTGTGAATTCCGTCTTTATGTTGACTAAGACCACAAGGTTTACCAACTTAACGTGGTCAGAAGATATTTTAAATGCAAATTATATTTTCTGTCAAGTAAGTATTGATTACTTGAATATTTAAAATCACGCAGTGTTACAGAAGAAAAATAAAAACAGAACAATTTATAAAATTTGTGGAGGCGTATTAAGTGGAAGAATAGCAGTAATAATAATATTGTGAGCTCGAGCGAATATTCGTATGCTTGGAATATTCAAAATAATATAGCAGCATTCCAATTCACTGTGAATCAGTTTAAATTATTGAAAATTTCCAATTATTCGAAACGAACGAATAAATGCATATTATTTTGCATTGTGATCCTGAAAAGGTAGTTTCACTGCAGTAGAGTGGTGGTGGTGGTGGTGTTGCAGCAGGCGGGGTTAGCCTGGCCTGCATGGCCGGCAATTGTTCTCCCTGAGCATCTCCTGAATTTGGAAAATGTCACCACGTGTCAGACAGCCTAGTGTCTTGCAGGAAGACCAACAAAATTCGTTGCACGTTTTTCCTAGTTGCCGCGGGTCCTTCTGGAAAGATGATGTCATCAACTGTCCGGTGTCTATGACAGCCTTTTCGCAAGGTGCGGATCATCGCTGCTCTTTGCGCATCAAACTGTGGGCAAAGCCAAATGAAATGTTCAATATCCCCGATGTCACCACAGAAGGCACAGAACGGGGAAGCGTATCTCCCAGTCTTGAATGACCAGGCCGGGGTGTATGCGGAGCCGGTTCTAATGCGGTACAACAGCGTCGCTTCTTCACGAGAAAGTCCATGAATTACACATGCTTGGTGTGAAAACTTGTAGATTGCCTTGAAATGATTGCGTATCACATCTTTGTTGTTCTGGTAAGTCTTGGGAGTTCTTACTTTTGGAAACGATGTACGTGCTTCACATGCAAGGGCATCAGCCTTTTCGTTGCCCTCAATGCCAACGTGGGATAGGATCCACTGGAACTTTATATTAAAACGCTTGCCATTTAGGTGTTTGATTAGTGCCAGAGATTGCCTGGTGAACTTTTCTTGAGGTAGGCCACGATGCAGTCTTTGTAGCGCCGATTTGGAGTCCGTCAGCACTACAACATCTCGTGCAGAAAAGGATCGCAGTTTTCGCAAAGCCGCCATAATTGCAGCGCTTTCTACCGTTGTGGACAAAACCACGCGATCCTGGCGGCCCGACCAAGACACGCCCAGGCTGGGTATGCAGAAAGCCGCTGCGCAGCTATCCATCTGTGTGCACACTGATCCGTCGGTGTACACTTGTAGGTGGCCGCGGTACATGGTGCTCAAGTGGTCCAGCGCAAGAAATTTTGCTTCCGCGGCTGGAATGGTGCGCTTCGCTGGTAGATTGGGTACGCTGAAGTTGCACGCAACATCTACAAAAGACCATGGCGGGTCCATAGGGCGCTGTTTAGGCAGTTTCAAGCCTAAATATTGAAATGTGTTTAGTGCCGCGTTGAAATGTGAGCCAGTTCTTGCTCTTAGCCGCCGGAGAAGCGCCGTGCCTGCGAAGGACTCGCTCAGTCTTGACAGCTGCGTCAATAAGGCCTGAGACGCCAAAAGGCGGAGCGGAAGAGACTCGGCTTCATTGGAGACCTTCGTGTTTGAAGCCGCCTGAGGGACTCCCATCACCAAGCGAAGACCCTTTCTGTGCACTGCCTCTAGGCGTTCGAACTGGCTTGGTGATGGTGAGCCGTAAAAGCCTTTAAGTGTATATTCGAATATATTCCTTTGATAAAAAAATAGTTTCAATGCAGTGAAGTACTGCAAAGCAGTGAAATTATATACAAAAGGAATCCGCACTGCCACAAAGCCCCATTTTAAGGTTAAATAAGGATGTATTCCTCACATAGATTTATTTGTTAAGTTTAAAAGCTTATTATACAGACTTATACGCTCCAAGTTTAGCAAATTCTAAAAAGTAACGCATTTTCCAAGATATCACTCGCATTCTACTGAAAGTCAAGTCCTGCTACTGTTCAAAGTTGTGTCCGCTTTCATTGATGCAAAAAAATGGCATTTGCACAGGACTTACTTCAATTCTTCTAAATATTGTGCAGGTTGGTTAGGCAATGACAAATATGCCTTTTTTCTTTATAATATGTGAAATATATACTATTCAAATTCGATTTGAAATGATTCGATCATAATCACTATTCGTTTCGAACCTAAAGTTGACTATTCGCACAAGCCTACAATAGTGAGCTTCAAACAGCTTACACAAATGCCTTTGCTTGGCGGGTAAACTAAATTCAGTATTGAAATAAGAAACACTATCCTTGGAAAGAATTTTCTTAAAACACATGACTTGCACAACATTCTGCGAAATTCGGAAGGCGGCCACGTGACCAAAAAATTATTTCTCTATGTTATATCCTAGCATTTGCCTGTTTTCAATGCAAGCAAAGAAAGGCATGAGTTTTTGTCAAATACATTTTGAGATGGTCACCAACACAGCTGGAATATTTTGCGTGAAATGATTTAACTGAAACAGCGTCCGTTCTCAAAAAACTTGCCTTGGTTTCTCCGGCAATGGGTGCCACATTGCAGACCTTTTTAGAGCGCAAGGCATTGATGACCGATGACTTGCCAACGTTGGGGTAGCCAATGAAGCCCACGCTGATTTGCCGCTTGTCCGTGTGCAGCTAGGTACAAAGATAACGTACGTGATGAACCAAACATGAATTTGGCTACGCTACAAACACTGTGAACTGACACAGTCTGCTTCTATTAAACTAAGAATACAAAGGCATTTAGACACACACACAAAAAAAAAAAAACACGATCTATTTATGCTATGCTGAGGACGATGGGACTGACAAAATGGAATGAATTAATGAGAGAGTTGAATTAAAGAAAGCATTGATGATGTTCACGCACATCACTGTTTTGTTTGGCAGCTTTTGCCTTTCTGTTGTGTCCCTATGCAAACGAACACGCAGAATTGATGAATTTATAGAGCAAAAGAATGTATGGAGCAGATTTATGGACACCCACAGAAAAAAATCGATGTAGCATGCCATGAAGTTCACAGTACCACACACAAAAAATTAAACACCTTAAGCAATGGTTCCCCAATGGGGTCTGCACAAAGTCATTTTTGTGGGTCTGCTAAATATGTCCTCAGGGAGTGGGGGAATGCATACACGTAAACGAAGCATCTTTTTCGAGTCACACTACGCCCTGTGAAGCGGCGCCTTCTGCGTTTTGGTAAGATTCACAGCATAACACTTATTTAATTGCGGCGAAGCTGACTTATGCTAACTTATGGGATAGCTGTAAAGCTTTTGTTGCAGTTTTCTATGACATATGCATAGCATGCTTCTTCGAGGATTGCAAACTTGAAGAGTGAATGCAACTATAAATAGCTTGACTGAGGCTGCAGATCGCAATAATTAGAGATTAGCCGTTGAAATTTAATTGGCACAGCACTTTAGGTTGACCCTTCTTCGCAAGCGAGAAAAAACGGCGCCTATTTTAAGCTGCACGTTGTGTTAATTTATGACCACCCCCGCCAAGGGGTCCTCCAATCACTGCCTCCAATCCATAAGGGGTCCCCAAACACCCATGGCCTAGAACCACTAGTCTAGTGTTTACCTCTACTGAGCTGAAGCTAATAAACATCCAATGACTATTGTCGCCAATCCTGAATAGCTTCAGTTATTTATATAATAGCTTTGGTTACCGTATTTTTGCGCGTATGACCCGCCCCTGAATATAATCCGCACCCCTACTTTCAGCTCACCGAGAAAGAAAAAATCCTCGCGTATTGCCCGCACATTTGATATACAGGAAAGGCTGTACAAAAGCTACTGCTCAAGCAACATAGCACATATGTAGACAGAAAAAGCTTTATTTAGCAAGCAGAATACGCTGCCTGCAAGGCCAGTCACAATTCACTCACTGTCGCTGCTCTCGCTAGAGCTATCACTTGAGCCTCAGTCTTCACTGTTATGCACAAGGTCATCTTCGGTTCCATCCATGTTGTTTGTAATGCAGCATTTCTTGAAACTTTTTCGCACCATCTCACTTGGAATGGCCTTCCATGCCTCGACAATCCACTTGCAGAATAGGGCAATATCAGACCTTCGGACTCGTCCTGTCGGCGTCAAGTCGTAGAGGTCTTCGGCCATCCACTCGGCGTAATAGCGCTTGACATGCGCTTTGAAGGGCTTGTTAAATGACACATCTAGAGGCTGCAACATTGACGTCATTCCACCGGGTATAACAACCAAGTCGGTGCCGTTGCGTGAAAGGCGGACTTTCGCTTCCTCAGTTGTGTGGCCACGGAACGAGTCAAGAACGAGCATGGACCTCTTTGCGAGCATCGCGCCAGGCCTCTTCTCCCATACCGTCTTGATCCAGTCCCCGAACAAGTCACTGTTCATCCATGCGTTCTCGTGTGCGCGCACCACCACGTCGGCAGGCAAATGAATCTTTGGTAGAGTTTTCTTTTTCAAGATGACATACGGTCGCAGTTGCGTGCCGTTGGCGAGGGCACAAAGCAAGACTGTGATGCGCAGTTTCCTGTTCCCGCCGGTCAGCACGCTTATCGAACTGCTGCCCGTCTTCTCAATTGTTGTGTCCAACGGCATTTCACAATAAACAGGAGTTTCATCCGCATTGCGGATTTGGGAGAAAATGTAATTGTGCTGCTTTCGCAGGCCAATTACATATCTCTGGTACTTGGGCAGCTTCTCCTCATAAGAAGCCGGCAAGCGTTGGCATATTGTATTCTGCCGTCTGATTGAGAGCCCTTGCCGCTTCACAAAGCGGTGCAGCCATCCGCGGCTCGCACGGAACTCGTGTGGTAGGCCTAACTGCCTCGAAAGTCGCCGTGCTTCCACTTGGGCCATCTCGGTCGATACGGCGTGACCCCTGCTTCTCACATCTTCGATGAACTTTACTAGCTCCGCCTCCATCTCAGGGTAGGCACCGGTCTTGGGGCCACGAAATGACCTACGGTCGCGGTGCACGGCTTGTAGGCTCTCTTTTTTCTTTCTCCACAATCGCACGCAGGACTCGTCCACATCGTGCCATCTTCCTGCTTCACGATTTCCGAATTCCTCGGTGATGGCGATGATCTTAAGCTTTTGCTGTACCGTGAAGGACTGCCACCGTAAGCTACTCATGATGACAGAACAGATCGACTCAGGCTTTCACGACTTAGCACTACCCCTTCTAGTACACTGTAACAGTACCCTGGAAACAACAGAACCGAAATTCATGCCTGCTGCCGCGTCAAAAAGTAGTACATAAATTTACTGATAATATCTCTATCTCTCTCGCGAACGTCCAAAAAATATACTTGTAATGTGACAGTGAGATTTTACACTGAACAATCGAATTGTCTCCCCCCAAATGTTTTTCTAAATGCTTCAACGATGCAAGCAAGCGAAACCAAAATCGGCCGCAAGCTGGCGTGCTACTAGCGGAGCAACACGAATTTGTGGAAACCACCTCCGTAGCCTTCGCTACATTGTTAAGGGGCTTCACAACACAACGCGCATTGCTGTGAAGCAGCACTATAGAAAAAACGCCGCGTATTTTCTACACCTCCACTTTGCAACTGAAATTTTTGGGTTTTTGTTGCGGGCTATACGCGCGAAAATACAGTATTTACCATAATTACTTGAACCTAACGCGCACCTTTTTTCCGGTTAAGAGAGTTCATAAATCGCATGCGCGTTAGAATCAAGTACGAAAAAAAAAATGAATATGGTCATTCTATTGCCATCGGCACTTCAAAAATGGCCGCCCCCTACGTGTGTCGGCATGGCGCGTCAGCCATTTTTGCCTATGTGTTTCCCATGTGCGGCACTTCGTACGTGTGCTGAGGAGTTCGTCATCTTGTAGTACATTAGCATCGATGGCATGGTAGGGCCGACTCCAAAAACTCGGCGAGTGTACCACAATGCTGCTTTTAAAAGAAACGTTATCGCGTGTGCCAAAACGGACAGAAATCGGGCCGCATCGTGGTCATTCGGAGTTCCCGAAACGTGCGTGCGGGACTGTCGGAAACAAAAGCAGAATATTGTCGACAGCAAAGATTCACGCAAAGGCTTCAGTGGACCACAGCAGGGTCGGTTTCCACGAATTGAAGAGCTGCTCGGCGAGTATGTAATTAAGCAGTGAGCGGCGCAGCGGCCCGTGACGACAGAACTGCTCCAAGTGCAGGCTATGCAGTTAACTAACTGGCTAACTAACTAACTAACTGGCTAACTAACTTTATGAAGAGGAAAGGCTTTTCCCTTCGAAGGCGAACGGGTATATGCCGGAAGTTGCCAGAGGAGTACGAAAAAAAGCTTCAGAGTCTTCAGAGGTTCCTCCTTAACTTGCGGCACAACAACGGCTACCTGCTTGGGCAAATCGGGAATGCCGATCAGACGCCTATTTACTTCAACAAGCCTGGCACCACATTCGTCGAGGAGAAGGGGGCGAAGCAAGTTCGTGTGCTGACATCGGGCCACGGTAAAACTAGAGTGACAGCAATGCTCCGTTGCACGTCAGATGGGCACAATCTTCCCCCGTACCTCATATTTAAACAGAAGACGCTCTCAAAAGGAGTCGTTTTCCCGAGTGGTGTGATCAAGCGCGCCAACGAGAAAAATGGGTGCGCATTGCAATCGATGTCTTAGTTTTTTTTTTTTTTTTTGTCGTGGAAACCGGGCGCGCGTTACAATCGAGGGCGCGGTAGAATTGAGTAAATACGGTATTTACCAAGGTATTTTGCCGGCAGATGCAAGTATACAATGTACATACCTACACACACCCAACAAACACTTATTATCCCGAGGAAATCGGCAGAGTAGAAAACGGATCAAGTACCTTGGAGAACTGCCTGAGCAGATTGATGAGGGCGCCCTTGCCAAAAGGGTTCGTGATGCTGGCGTGGAATGCCATGGTGGGGTACTCGGCCGAGAGGAGAGCCACCCAGCGCTGAGTCACCCAGGTGGGCACCAGGTCGCACTTGTTGAGCACGAACACCAGGTGCTTGTGGGGTTTCTCCTTGCGCATGAAGCGCTCGATGAAAGGGCTGCGTGTGCCCTGTGGGTCCCGGACGTCCAGCACTTGGATCACCACGTCCGACGAGTCGATCACCTGCGACAGTGAAGGTGGCAACAGTTCTCGGGGCATGCTTATGAGTAAAGATTAGCATTCTGGGGTTTTAACTGTAAAATGACTGTGAGGTCCACCACGATAGGCAACTCGTGACTCACTTTGAGCAGCTGAGGTTAAACTCGTCGATCGTTTGTTTGGACTCAGTGGGAACCGTGAAATAATCAAGCCCCAAAAAAAAGAGAGAGAACATAAGAAAAAAAAACAGGGAGGTTAACCCGGGCTGAGCCCCAGTAGGCTACCCTGCACTGTGGAAGGGGAAGGAAAGTTATAGAAGAAGAGAAAAAAGGTCACCGACTGGGCCGACACGTAACAATTTCACATCACAAACGATGAAACAGGCCAGTGCCTTTGAGAAAACGCAGCAGCGCTTTCGTTGCCTTTTGGAATTGGGATGCCCCCCCCCCCCCAAAAAAAAGGAACCTACACTCTAGTATGGCTGTGGTAGTCATTCAATGAATGCTCGACTGGCTGAAGAAAGGCGGCCATTACTTTGTGTAGCCAACAAACACAGCCTTTCAAATTAGCAATTGTAATTGCTGTGTGAATTTTTGTGCTGGCGCTATCTTCAGCCATAGGCAGTGCTGTCAACCTAGTAAATATTGTAGACAGCATGTCATGGCATTTATCATTGCAATCATTCAGCAAGCTGGAGTTCAAAAAATTGAATGGCGCACTGTGCAGCAACCGAATTTTCGTTTGTGAGTTTACGTTACTTCAATGTGACGAGTGGCAGCGGCAAGAAGGTGTCCAAATTTTCAGCATCTGAATAGACGATCGGCAAATGTATTAGAGGGACCCTGACACGTTTTTTTTTTTTTGGTTTTGTAAGCGTTTAGGCTGAAGCATCATCAAACGGTTCACACCAAAAATTGAGTCGCACGCTGTGTACCAAGGTTGCTATGAACAATTATATCATACCCCCCTCCTCACCTCTGCCTGGCCTGCTCAACTCATGAGGCACGTTGGCATCACTGACGATCACAGAGCTCTCATGAGCGCACTCAACGATTTGAGCTTTTACTAGTCTAGACCTCCGAGATCGCACGCCGACAAATTGCGCATAGTCTCGGAGGCCATCACATAGTGTGCCTGGCAGCATGCACACCTCCTGGCAAGAGAAACGATATTCGCGGAGTGGTTCATATCTGCTCCAACAAGTGCCGCCACCCTAACAGCCGATCTTACTTCAACACATTCTACAGCGCATGAGAGCCAATTAGCAGCCACGGTGGCCATGGTGACGTGGCTGCCAATGTGCTCTGGCTTCGTCAACCGCCTAGAGCATGTCGCTCTGTGAATGGGCGGTTGAAAATGTGTTTGACCGTGTCGCAAGAATCTGCAACGATCTGCAGTAATTGGAAGCTTTAAAGCATTGTAACAAATTACACAGTTGCCACAGAGAGCTCAAATCGGTCTCTAAATAACCCTTGGGACTTGGTCTATGGGCTCAATGTGTTTGTACAAGATTGCCACAACGGTTTCAGGGTCCCTTTAAACATCAAAGCTGTTCGTAGTTGGGCTTCTGCCATATGTGCAATAGGCTTGCTCATGTGGTCTTGAGATGACGGTGAGGCTTGGTGGAGAGGGCGAACAAACAGGAGGCATGCCTGGAGTGGCAAGGGTGAAGGTCGCTGTAAACCGTGTTAGAGTGTAGCTGCCTGCGAGGAGCAGGCTTAGAGGAGTGACAAGGGGGGCATGTCATGCACAGCAGCAGCGCTGAAGAGCATGGTGTTGCCCAATAGCTTAACACAGAGTACAAAATAAAGAGCAATTATACAACAGAGGAATACCTAAAAAACACTTGCAAAATATTAAAATAGTAGTACTTAGAAGAACTTGCCAAAAGAAAAACAGTGAACAGAGCCTGAGAAAAGGAGCACCAGCTTCACTGTTTTGACAGCTTTCACGAAGTGGAGTGGCCTAAAATTTTTGCGTTTTGCCTTAATTGAAATGCAACCACTGTGACCAGAAAGGCTGTGGTTAGTTTGATATGCATAGAAAAACTTCTTGACAAGTCAATAAGATGGTTCAGTGAATTATATCCCAATTCATCTTATAGAGAGAACAGCAGAAAAAACAAACATAAACATCTCAAAAAAAAAAAAAAACCTTCAGTTGCTTCAATGTGTCCGGCATGCTTTTTTTGGTGCTTCTCAGCATCTTTGTAGTACCGTATTTACTCGATTCTACCGCGCCCTCGATTGTAACGCGCACCCGATTTCCACCGCGAAAAAAAAAAAAGTAAGACATAGATTGCAACGCGCACCCATTTTTCTCGCTGGCCCGCACGATCACACCACTCGAAAAAACGACTCCTTTCGGGAGCGTCTTCTATTTAAATATGAAGTACGGGTGAAGCTTGTGCCCGTCTGACGTGTAACAGAGCATTGCCGTCACTGTAGTTTTACCGTGGACTGATGTCAGCACGCGAACTTGCTTCACCCCTTTCTTCTCGACGGTTGTGGTGCCAGGCATGTCGAAGTAAAGAGGCGTCTGATTGGCATTCCCGATTGGCGCGAGCAGGCAGCCGTTGTTGCGCCACAAGTTTAGAACGAACCTCTGAAAACTGTGAAGCTTTTCATCGTACTCCTCCGCAAAACTTTTCGCATATGCATGTTCCCCTTCGTAGGGAAAAGCCTTTCCTCTTCATAAAGTTAGTTAGCCAGCACCTGCTCGCTTTAAACTGGCTCCGCATTAGACCATTTTCTAAGACTAATTGAATAGCCTGCACTTGGAGCAGTTCTGTCGTCACGGGCCGCTGTGCCGCTCGCTGCTCAAGCACATACTCGCCGAGCAGCTCTTTAATTTGCGGAAACCGACCCTGCTGTGGTTCACTGAAGCCTTTGCGTGAAGCTTTGCTGTCGACAATCTTCTGCTTTTGTTTCTGCCGGTCCCGCACGCATGTTTCGGGAACTCCGAACGACCGCAATGCGGCCCGATTTCCGTCCGTTTCTGCACACGCAATGACTGTTCTTTTAAAAGCGGCATCGTGGTGCACTCGAGTTTTTGGAGTAGGCCCTTCCACGCCGTCGATGCTAATGCGCTACTAGATGACGAACTCCTCAGCACACGTACGAAGGGCCGCACATGGGAAACACATAGGCAGAAATGGCTGATGCGCCATGTCGACGCACGTAGGGGCGGCCATTTTGGATTTGACGATGGCAATAGATTGACCGTAATTTTTTTGTTCGTACTCGATTTTAACGCGCATGCGATTTATGAACTGGTTTAACCGGAAAAAAGGTGCGCGTTAGATTCGAGTAATTACGGTACTACACTGGGGCGACAATTTTTCTTGACAGCACTGTGGAAGCTACAGAGCGAAAGAGCATGTCTGCAACTACGTGAAAAAAATAGTGCATAAGTTTACTGAAAATGACGACCAAGAAACACGCACAACAGGACTAGTTGCTGTATGTTTCTCGAGTCATTTGCATCATGAACCAACTGCATTATTCCATTTTCATGTTACCGTATAAAAATGTTTTCTCTTTGTGAGCGCTCTCTCATTCGGCCTACATTCAAGGTACTTTCTTTTTTTTTTGGGCTTTGGACTCTTCGAAAGCCGGCCTAGATTCGAGTAAATACAGTGGGTTCTTAAAACATTTTTTCTTCCTGTTTTTTAAACTGTTGCGGTATACATGTGCCAACGAGTCGGAAAAATAAAAAAAACATCAGCTGTTAGTCAGCATTGTTGTCATGCTTTCTTCATTTCGTGTTCTGTCAGAATTTTGTGCAGTTTTTTTTTTTTTTTTTTCGCTGTTATAAGCATGAACCAATTAGCCTTAACCTCAACCTTAGCAACCGAAGATTCGCCCATCCCTAGTACAGACTGGTTTTTTTCCTATTATAAGCATGAACCAATTAGCCTTAGCCTCAAGCTTAGCAACTGAAGATTTGCCCATCCCCAGTAAAGTTTATTTGTTCACTCTATACAATCTACTTAATAGATGGTGCTGTTCGCTGAATAAGCCACACCTGCTTACCTTGTACAGTTCATTCCAGATGCGCTTAGACTGGCCCTTGGCCATGATTTCCTGACGAACGGTAGCCCTTGCCTCCTCTTCTGGAACATCCTTTTTGGTCTCCTCGTGTTGCGCTTGAGAGGTGTCAGCAGCTTGGACCAGCTCCTGCAAACACAACTTCAATTGTCACTTTGTCCCAGCACAGCCGAACTAAACAAAGCTGTACAATGCCAGTAAATAATGTAGTCATGGAGAGCATAGGCAAAATTATTTGTACAGTCGAACCCGTTTACAAGAGACACTGAAGTAAGAGACACCGGTGGGCCTGCACTGAAATAGCTTTTGACAAGAAAACGCATATGTGGTACCCTGCTTGAAAGGAACTTTTTATATAAGATGCAAAGGTTAATCGCTGATGCATGTTCCTCATAAAGGGGTTCAACTGTAGTTTTTACAGTGAAAGCTAATATGAGACCACAGCAAGGGTCGATTCTGGCACCATAGTTGTCTACCACCGCAACTGCTGGCGTCCATAAACTCAAGTGATTTTCTGCCTCCATTAAAGTGCATTCACGACATCTGTTGTGTTGCTTGTTCAACAAATGGACAAGCAGCACCACTTGCCTACTGTAGTGTGCACATAGACTTTTAAATATACTCACGTTCAAGTCTCCAGCTGAGATACGTGGCTTCTTGCGCTGTGCTTTAGGGCCAAACGTTGCCTCGTAACTTGCCGTGTCCAGGATGTGCACTCTGGCATTCTGCAAAGAATAGTTCAATTGCCACACAACTGCCAAGCGCAATACCTTATACTGATAAGGAATCTAAAGTGCTCGTACCCACACACTACTGTGTACATCAGGGGCATGCTATTTATGATTGAGCTATTTGTAGGGCCATTGTGCCAGAGGCACATGGACCTTTTCTTGATTGCCTACACACGTCCTGACATGGTAACATGACCACAGTGACATATTAACAATACTGTGTTGGATGAAGGACAATGACCTATGTATGTCACAACATGGCTCGACTGGTACTTCGGAAATTGGTCAACGGTTTCTACTGTGCAGTACGCTATGTCACAAACAGTTACAATGTCTTGCGCTCGCAAAACAGCGAACGCTGGAAAAAAAAAAAAAGACTAGACTAGAAAAAGTGAGATCACTTGGCTGGATACCTTGGCCTTCTCGTTCAGCAGGCTAACGGGCAGCTTGCTCTGCCGCATCACCACTTGGTAAGGGTCGCGCATGGCCTGCCCCAGCTCCTGCTGGAACTGCTGCAGCGCCCCCTGGCTGACCGTGCGGGTGTTGCCAAACCACTTGGGGTTTGGTGCCACTCGTGCCACGGTGCCAGACGTCACCCACGACTGGTACGGTGCGGCCTTGACAATCTTGCCCTTGCGGTCTCTGTGAAACAACACCACAACATATACAGCGTTAGTTACAGACGGTAAGGGTGTAAGACAGGTATAAAAATTCACCCGTTAATCAAACCAAGAAAAGCATAGGGAGTTATTTGTTGTTTTGTAGCGGTGGCGTAAATCTAGAAAAATTACGAGAGAGGGACACACATCTTGCCACGGTTCCCCATTTTGTTTCATTTGTCCTCAGCCATATCAGGGCACCAAATCAGTAAATAACACAAACATAGTTGAGCGATTGGATTCATACTTCATATTCAATGGCTTCCACCAAAACACTCTTCATAAATAAATTGTGGTAGATGATCAGGCAATACTGAATTTACTTTAGATGATCAAACTAAATGGCCTACTAGACGTGAGCCATATCATAGCAGAAAGCTTGTGCTCAACAGTCACTTCTCAACAGCGACTTGTCAAACAAAAAGCAGAATTCACCTTTGTACAATGTTTCTGCTCTTTGGGAGGGCTCCAGTGGTTATTTTCGAAAGATAAATCTCAAGGAAAGACGCCCCACCCTCCCGATCCCCCGTTGTTTACACGAGGGTCTTGACCTGTACTATGACTATTACCAAAATTGAAAGGAATCAAAATAGACTAGAAAGCACCATTTCAGTAAATGGAATCCAATTTCACAGCCTCCCTATACAAAAGTTGTTGGTTCGGGGCGCACCTGATCGAAATGCTGCTTCCTTGTCCACTTGCCATAATAATTACACTGCAGTAAAAAGAACAATAATGTACCCTGTACTTTTCTTGGCCTGTTGCATTTATTCGGCATGCTCCCTACAAAGAAATAGATCCCCCCTCCAACAGTCAGGCTAACAGGCCGTTAGCCTTTTCTTTTGCCATTTATCCATTCACAGCATGAGCCTACTAAAGTGATTTCTCGGAACAAGGGGCTCTAAGTCAAGAAAAAAATTCGTCCACAGGTGTGCATGTGTTTTTTTTTGCATTACGCCTCGATCAAAATATAGCTGTCCTGGCCGGAATTGAAACCGTGACCTCATGCTCAGTAGTGGAATACCATAGGGAAGCCGCTATAGCTGGTCAGGGAACAGATAAAGAATTAAGCGGATTTCTGAATCAGTAGTCAGTTGTGAAGTGTCCAGCCTCAGTGAGAAATGAGCTACTGTGGCACTGTCCTGCACCACAACATCAAAGTTGACTTTTTTTTTTAAGGTGCTAACTTCACCCGCAATAAGTTTCGGGTAAAAGGTTGCGCGAAAAGTTATGAAATGGGCGTGGAAGTGTAACGCCACTCAATCATCACAGCATAGATTGCTCAAAACCTAACGTTTCATGCACTTCCGTTGTGCGACGATCGTGTGCCGCTGTGGGAATCTCTGGGACATCAACCTGCTATTTCGGCTATACATATAATCAACAGTGATTGCCATCGTCTGAACAACTTTGTTTGGTTGCTAAAGACGACTTGTAGCAGCATGCCTGTTTGACAGCAAGTTACATCTCAGCTTACGACTGCTGTTCATTGCAATCGCAGTAACCCGTCGCTTCGTTCAGTGCCCATAATCGACCGCTGTCATCGCAACCAAGAACGCACAAGGTACGCGGCGAGTTTCGCACACGCGCTGATCAGCGAATGACAGTCATGATACCTGTACGGTCTCGAGTTCTTGTACATGAGGAGACGCTTGATGGTCGACTTGTCTCGCATCGTGGAGTCATTGCTTTTCTTGGGCCGATCTGCAAGGACACCGAACACGTCAAAGCTGTCATCTTCACAGTCGCATTCCGATCGCGGGCAAGCTCACGGACGGGTCTGATCATTTCTTCAACACTTCATAACACAGATCAAAGCGAAACCACCTCCATAAACGCACCTCGGTACATAAGCACTTAGTGATAAAGGAACGGTCAAGCGGTTACCTGGGTTCAAACTGTGAGTTCCCTTGTTGAAAGAGCTTGTTTTCTTAGCTCCGATCCGCTTTGCTTTAGCCATGTTGACGACTTCGAATCGACGATACACACAGAAAAACGACGAGCGGCCGGACTGAATGGTCACAGCTGTGGAACGAGTTGCTGCGTGCAAAATCAGACGCTTATGTTAATTGAATCTTAGGTTTTGGTAACCAAATCAGTTATTTACAGCCGCACGTCGCCGGCTGCGACGAAATTGCAGCAGCCAGCAATCACACGTGCTCCTAGTAAACGTACAGACATATGTATGCAATGCAAGCCCTGAAGCCATCTAAGAATTGCCTACTAGACTTACAACATCTTAATCCAAAACTAATACCTTGTGCCTGATCAACATAAATAATAATAAATTTAAATACACAAAGTTGAAGTTAAAGTTACGGTCAATGTTTGATAACACAACTTAAAAAACAAAACATAAGAATATGACCGTTTTAATTATACGGTTAGTAGCGCCACGTTTATTAGCAGCCACATACGACAAAAGTGATTATTGCCAGTCCCAGCCCTTTTTCATCACTGACGCCGTTGCTAAAGGTATCGTCGAATTTCGGCCGGCGCCTTTGTGCCATATTTGCCGTAAAAACGGTGCTTAACCGCGCTTTTCTTTCCGTGACAGTGTTCGCGAGCAACTTCAGGTTAGCCAACCATGCAGAACGAGGCCGGAGAATACGTCGATCTGTACATTCCCCGCAAGTGGTGAGTGCACGTGTCTTGCCCCCTTCTTCCCGAGGCCGGCCGCTCATGTACATGTTGCGTTGGCCGCGGCATTTTCTGCCGGGGAATTCGAGAAGCTAAAGTTGATTTCCGATAAACCATTTTGCAGCTCTACGAGCAACCGCATCATCCACGCCAAGGACCATGCTTCCATCCAGATCAACTTGGCAATTGTAAGTTGGCTGCGGCGTTTTTCCTGCGACTCGCTTTGAATACGCGATTACGTGTTCTGCGTGTACGTTGATTGTGAAACTGTGAGGATTGCGTTCATTTGTGTCTTGGTTAGTCGTGTGCGCACCAGATACGTAAACATGGTGGCTATCGTGTTTGCGCTACGAAGCGCGATGTCGCGGGTTCGAATACCTAACACGGCGCAGCGTTTCGACGGGGGCTGAATGAACGAACAGCCGTGATTGGCTTCGTGCACCCGCCTGAAAGAACCGCATGTGGTCAAATGTGGTAAAAATGAATTCCCCAGTACTGCACACTTCGTAGACATAGCTTGGACCCGTAATACGCGAGATGTTTACCGCTCCCTTTCACGTAATTGGTTAAGAACGGTTAGCATTGGGCACTTGACGCGCCGTTTGGCGTTAAGTCGCACATTTAGCGTCGAAAGTTCGAAGACCGCGATAGGCGCGAAGTCGTCTTGAGTTAATTTCCGGCCTGTCGCAGAACGAGCCAACGTGTACCCGTGCAGTTCGACTGACTTGAGTTATAATTTGGAAGTTTGCCAAGACGTAGTGGTGTATGAAGTTGTGGCGCCGACTGCATGTGTGAGATGGGTCATTAGATTGAATAAAAGGTAATGTGCATTACTGACCGAGAATTACAACTGCATTTTGTTTGACCATGGCACTGAATCACCATTTGTATTTCAGGTAGATGAGCAGTCCGGCCGGGCGACCGGTGAAACTACGGCCTACGCCATCTGTGGTGCCATCCGCCGCATGGTGAGTTGCATCACTAATGTGTGCTTCGCTCTTGGCCCTCACACTGGTGATTCGCTGGGTTGGTGTGATGGGGAATTTGCTCAGCCTAGCAAGACCGACTTACGATCACACTGACGTGCCCTGTGATCAGTGTGATTTGCATCAACTCACACCACCATTGGCTCATAACACAAACTTTTTGACTGCAGAGATATAAATAACTTTATTAGCGGCACGACGAGGTCAGTGAGAGTTGCTTGCTGGTGGTTCGAAGGGTGCTGGTCGGCTTCTTGCCACGGTCGTTATGGGCGTCCGGTTAATCAGTTTCCCCTGCCAGATTAATGTCAGTTACTAATAGAAGTGACAGATGCATTCTGGAAGGAAGCTGGCATTATTGTCTAGGAAGGTCACCCTTGCATTATATATTATAGTTGTTAGGCTTTAATTAAACGTCCCACAACTACCATAGGATTATAAGAGACATCTTAGTGGAGGGCTCCGAAAGTGCACGTAAATTTAAATTTAGGTGCACCGAACGTGCACCTCAATCTTAGCACACGGGTCTTGAGCATTTCAGTCTCCATCAAAAATGCAGCCGCCATGGTTAGGATACAATACCGCGACCTGCTAGTCAGCACTCGAGTGCAGACCGCTGTTGTGGGTCACCCTTGCATTGACGAACAGTGTTATTTTTGGTGGCCTTCTTACAGTTGCAGTGTTGGCAATTTGGTCATACAGTTGCAACATGCAACTGAAAGATCGTGTAGTGAGCTGATACCTCAAAGTGGTTGCTCTTCACAAAAGCAACAGTTTTCAGTACCTGTTATCAGCTTAGTTTTGTAACTGCTGTTAGTCACCATTGTGAACATGTGTTTGTTGGAGTGGTGTGAGCGCCCAAATGTATGCGGAGAGCATTGTGTTGTATGCTAGTTAACACAATCAAAGCGAAAGGTGTGCCTGGTGCCTCATTGCTGTAGTTCCGTGCTTAGTGTAGCACCTTTTGTGCCTGTGCAACTCTAAGCAGGTGTTGAACAATGTGGCTGGCAGATATACACTCAAACCTTGATATAACGAAGTAATTAAAGAGTAGCTTAGTCACATATACAATGTAAAATCACGATCAAGCACCCCCTTTCGGCGTGGGGACAATTGGGGAGTGTCGAGGAGGGGTTCTTGCTCGAACTGCCTCGAAATCCAAGGTTGCGGCCAAATGTTCCTCCCCCTTCCCCTGGGTAGGAAAGGCAACACACTGAAACCGAAAAAGATTTATTCAGTGGCATTCAGTCTAATTAATCGCTTTCGAAGCCATCAAAGAAATCTTCGGACTCGGGCACTCGTTTGGCAAGTTCTCTGGAAGCTCAGATGCCACAGCGCCGACGTCTGACAGGCAGTCGTGCAGCTCGCCATCCTTTGAGCCACCGGGTCCGTCGGAAATTCTGCACTCCTTGGGAAGAATGCACGACTGTCTCGGTGGTGACAGCAGCCCAAGTCTTGGACATAAAGTTGAGGGCGTCCTGCCGCAACTGCCCTCGCAGGTTGCCTTTCAGGGTTTTTTCTCCTTTCTTCATAAATATCTCCCAAGCACTCTGATGGTTGGCTTCAAATGGTCTGTTTCAAAGTAACGTCGGCTGGCTGTAAAGATTCAGTCAACTGAGCGCACTGTAATGTTGAGCACGTTTCCAATTGTCATTGTCCGCCGTAAAAGCTTACAAAAAGAACCTGATGCACAAACTTCGCCACTCACCTAGTATTTGAATGCTCATAAACGCCTTGGCTGGTATCCTTATGCTTGTATTTTTTTTTTTTTCAAAATGTCAAAGGTTGGAAGATTGTGTCCACTTGCGCATGCTGCCAGTGTAACTGTAAAGCCTCTATGGAGGCAGTCAGTGTCGGCCATGCCGGCCACGTTGTTTGTTCTGTTCGTTAGAAGGTCCGTTCAAAGCATCATCTGGTCCATATTGCACATGTTGTACAGAGCATAGTTGTGGCGTGCTTGTAGGGCATTCACCGCAGAGGGAAATACTTTTGCTGACTTCAAGAAGTCCTCACGTGTCTTCTGACTCGTTTGTTGCTTGCTGCACTGTCACACCAAATCGCTGTTTCCACCTTTTGACGCAGTAAAATTTCCTAGCTGCAAGCTGTCAACTATTTTGATAGCTTCTTCAGAGAGGAATCTGTTACTGACAGCCCGTGCAGCTTGAGATACTCAAAAAGTGCGTCGTCCACTTCCTCAGTGAACACTTGTGCGGTTTTGGCACGGGTTTTGGTTTCGACAGCTTTCTTATGAGTCGCAAGAGCTGTGCTGCTGGGTTGAGGCAGCCAGGAGGCTTCACATTATATGAAGGGCTGGCTTACACGTGAGGTGGGGGGGGGGGGGGGAAGGGGGAGGTTTGTTCAATATTTTGCAGTGGTGTTAAGAATGTATGCTCAGAACGAATTTTCCTATATAACGAAGCATTTTTGTGGCAGATGTGACTTTGTTATAGTAAGGTTTGCGTTAGCTCAACAGGCAAATTTTGTCGGACTATTTGTGCCTAACTTGAGAGAATCTATTCTGAAGGCACTTCGTACCGTGCAGAAAAGAATTGGGGCACCGGTAAGCTTTTAAAAGTTCAAAGCTGATCACGATATCTGCACTCGCACACTATCACCTTCTCGATTGCTAGCCGGGCCCTTAATTGTCAGTGGAGTCTTAAGTGTGCTGCTAGGAAACCAATGTGCATTTGCCCTCCAGCTTCTAGCGTTATGGCACCTACCTCAAATTTTTTGCTTACGGGCAATGTTTTTTCACTCACAACCACAAAGTGTTAGCATGGTGGTGGTTGGTTTTGGGCTTCGCTGCTCTGACATCGCAGTATTTTGCCAATGTTTTGAAGAGAAACAAAAACATCCTGTCTTTACAGCAGTTTCTCGGGACCTTAGGGGCCACAGCTTTTGTGTGTGCATTAGTTGTTAGAAGGGAGTTCATATATCTAACTTTTCAGCTTGGTGTGGGTTACCACTTAGTCTTTCAATTACACTCAAAGCCCGATATAATGAACCCAGATATAATGAAGTTAATTAAAATAGCCTTGTAATAGATATAGTGTTAAAAATAACCCTTCGTAACAAATTTTCGGATACAACGAACCTATCTTCATGTACGATGCAATTTTGTTATGAGGTTTGGGTGTACAGTAAAGTCTGTGCAGTAATTCAGATTCCAAGAGACTGGAAAAACTGTCCAATTTAACCAAATGCTAAAAGTGTCAAGAAAACAATAAATACATATTTCATCAATGCTCTTTCATTTTCTTGGGCAATCTGCAAGTGTAGTAAAAACCGCAATTTCAGTCATTTGCCATTTGTATGATTTCGTTCACTATGTGGTTGCTGCTCAATATTCCCGTGTCTTAATCCGAAGCTTGCTCTGAGCCAATCTCTCACTACATACCAACAATGCCATTAGGGGTGGTGACCGCAGCTTTCTTAAACCGCACGGCCATTTTCGGCTGTCGGAGAATGTCTTATCACACCTTTGCGGCACATCACGCTCTGCACATTAGAGGAGTGTCCAAAATGACCGGGTTGCTGGCAATAATGACTCAAGTTTAGAGAATTGGATGTAGTTAAACAAGGCATGTTCTATCCGGAACTCATCCAAAATATGTGCATGTTCAAATTACGAGCTTTTTCTGTATTTCACATGTTAATGGAATACAAAGAGACGCAGTGCACTGTTGTCTTGGCTTTGATATGATGCCAATGAAGCATACCATCAGAATTCACTTTACTCTCCAGTCCATGGTAGCATTGCTCTCTCTGCTACTCACGCAAGCCTTGTGCATATTCTCGTTAACATTCTTGCAGGGTGGCCTACTTTATGCTAAGGAAGTGGTTGTGTGGGACCTATTATAAAGTTTTTAACTCTTGTTCAAGTTTGCAAGAGTTGCTGATTGTGTGAGCATGCATTGCTAGTGGATAACAGTGGTGAAACAAGTGTTGCTGGAGGCAACATTTTCAGTATAAACTTTGTCAAGGCAACAGCCTTTGTACTTGCTATTGTGATCACAATGGATTTGTTATTAAAATGGTACCTTCAAGAACAAAAGCTTCTTAGGCCATTTCTAACCTCTATTTTCTCATGAACATTGCCGTAGTTAGTGTGTTCATTAGACGAATAAAACAAAGCAAGAACAGTAGGGACGAACACAGGCACTAGAGGATGGAACAACAACGATGAATTACCAACATGCCTATACCTACGACACTTCAAGTTTCAACCCCGTGAACTGTACCAAGTTATCCGAGAGGGGAGCCATTAGAGAGATGATGCGTACATGATGATGATAATGATCAAAGCTTCTTTTTTTTTTTTTCAAGAAATAAGGGAGGCGCTCGTGTGTGTCGTACCTCTAGTGAGTGTCTGCTCTGGTACTTATTTTTTTCCCAAATTAACTCATCCAATTCGGATAAGAATTAATCTAAATTGTCACAGGTTTATTTTTGAAATGTGTGTTTATTAGACTCGTGAAATAAATAACAGTAATATTAGCCTTGTGAGGGTGACAGTGATATCCACTTTGAAGGTGGTCAAGAAGAAGTCTAGACTTAGTTCGTATTGACGTCACCGTTGCCGGGCCCCCAGCTGGTTGAAATGCGCGAAGCTGGACGAATGACATCAGATTAGAGCTAGTACCCGTTCAAAACCCTTTATGTTCTCCCTTTAGTGGCTTATCAACAGTAGAAAGAGGGTAGAGCACGAAAGAACTTAGGAACGAACAACTTAGTCTCCTCCTCTGCACTGACTTTCTCTAAGGAGATAAAAGTAATGATTGCCACCATCTTAAGATCCCCATGTATTGCAAGATATAAGGCCGCCTTGATTGCTGGTCCTTTTGATAAGTGCTCTTTGCCAGCTGTATTGCTGGCGTTGCATCAACACAACAATGCATTTTCGTTTTTTTGCAGGGGGAGTCTGACGACTGCATAACGCGGTTGGCGCAGAAAGATGGCTATATTCCAAAGTAAGCATGACATTTTGAGGTTGTTGCAGTACAAGTCTTAGATAATATTTGCTCCTTTTTTTCTTCTGCAGGGACTACTGATGGAAGCTCATAAATAAACATTGGTAACCACCGAAACAGTGTCTTTCGTGTATGTTTTTTTCATTTTTATTGTATGTTCTTTCGTTTTCACAGAATTGTTCTGGTAAGAATACAAAGCCAGCCAATACTTACAATTCTCCCCACCGTGAGATAAGGGCGCGCAAGTGAGCGTCCAAAGTACTACGCGTAAAAGATGAGAGCGCGTGCTGCCGTGTCATGACGATGTGGTGATGCACGCTCATCGCGCGATCTTATCTGGATGTTCTTGAGTTGCGTTCAAGAATGTCCGGAAAACCGGGTTGAGCTTAATATACAACTGAGAACTCAAAAGCTCACATTGACTTCTTCTGGTTACAAATATTGCATATGTACATCATTATGCAATCAACACATCATACATATTGAAACATAATTATACAGAATATACATTATACATGCATATAACATAAACAAGTGGTTCACACTGATCACTTGCTCACTTACACAGTATACACGCGTCAGTAAACTGAAAAGGCTTTGTATCGCATTAAGAGTATGTTTAGAACATCCATAAGTCAGTGCAACGCACTTACATGAACAGAAAGTGGAAATGCTAGTAGCACAACAAAGTATCACACCAGCCTACAAAATGTATGCTGTCATTACGAGAAATGTTTTATGCATTTTTTTGATCTTACTAAGTCTATCTATCCAATTTTATGCCTTTGTGTTTGTTCAAAAGTTGTATAGCTTGATAAGGTAATTGTTTCCTGCAATTCGCCCTAATCTTCGGAAGCTTTCTTATCTGCTGCCTAAACGCGTACCGAGGTTCAGTTACCGTGCCAATATCTTTATACATGCCGGTGATGTGTATGTGCTGTATAAGTTTATAAAGGCAAACTTGATCGGCCGTAAGCATGTCATGTCTCATAAATAATTTTCGGGTACGCTAATCCCGCGTATCCCCCTATGTAATTTTTAAAAATATGCAGCACTCATTTTTGCAGTATTGTTAGTCTAGTTACGTTGGTGGTGGTAGCCCTTACTAGTGAACAGCAGGCAACCTTCGAGTAGAATAATGTGTAATAAAGAGTTTTCTTTTAGATAAAGGGATGATAAACAACACCAATATACATTATGCAAGCTCTCATAATGTAGAGGAAACATTAAACTGCTTCTGTAAGCACACAATTTACTTTCGTGTTTTACGGATTCCTGTTACGAAGGAATCAACCTTTTTTTTCGAAAAATCACTCGTATCGATGACAATCATTTCTCGGGTTTGATATGGCTTTGCTTTCAACAGCGTGTCCCGCTGCGAGGAAGCACACAAGGATTTTGTTCAACATGATCGTAAAGCGGTCGGCGTTTCAATAGATAAATAAGTATATATGGGCGGAGTGACTTCGTTTTTCTATAGAATGTTTTTTGTGCAAAATCACTAATAACCCTGTTATTTGCTTTACGGTCCAGACTAACTTTGAGATGTATGTATATGCATAGTAATAGATAGGCTGAGCTTGCTTTTCCGTAAATTTCAGGTCTTACACTACTTTTGAAGTATCCAGGGTTAGTAGTTGCTGTGGGAATTTATGTCGGTGCAAGAGTGCCAGCGTCATGGATTGCCAATGATACATGCACCGAAAAACTCCACATGCGCAAGAAGTTGTAATCAATGTCTGCCTTTTCAAGAATTTCCTTGCATAAGTTTAAGGAGGCATAAAGTCAAGTTCTATTGTTCTTTTTGTTTTCATTATACTGAGTATGTTGTGTGCAATGCAATATGTGGCATTGCCAGAGGTTGGCACACTGTGCCTCTCCCCCCTTAATTTTTCCCACGACATACACAACGATAAACAACAACCTTAAAAAAGTGGTGCCCCCTCCCTGGAAAAAAAAAATCACAGCGTATTCACGGAGTAAATGATGAGTGGGGCGAAGCGGCCTTCAGCCTGTCCGTTCGTTCTTGCTTCTGTCCGTCTGCCATCTGTCTGTCCGTCTGTGCGTCCATCTAGTGAACACAGCAGCACCGCCATCTCGCATCCCCTGTGGCACATGTTACGCCGACGGACAGGGGACATTGCTCGATCCTAAGGAGCTTCACCCCTAAAAAAAAAAATTCTGCCTACGCCGCTGATTGAATGCATGACAGGTTGTAGTGTTATGCTAACGCCTCCTAAAAAAATTATGCCTGGAAAGTGAGCCGCGAATGCGCTGCCCTACCCTCTGATTTTTTCCTCCTCCTTCAGTACGAAGGCGAGCATCTCCGACGGCCGCCCCCTGCGAACACAGCCATGCTCTCACAGTTGCCTCCGAACAGCCGTGATGTCACGGACAGAGCAGTACAGTTATGTCACGTGGCTGAGCGGTACAGAGGCGAGTGGTCTCGCGCCGCGGCTGGTCGCAACACACGGCAGGAGGCATGGCCTCTGCGATTGCGTGCTGGCAGGAGGCTCCCAATTGAAAAGAAAACGATGTTCCAGGCATAGTTTTTCTAGGAAGCGTGGGCTATGCATTGACGCGTGCGTCACGGAAGTATGCGCGCCTGCGAGTTGAGGACCATTGACATAAAAGTTTGAAGCCGAGAGGTAAATTTATGCGGAGACATTGTGATACACATCTATGAAATATCAAAGGTAAATGTAGCATAGAACAACATTTTAAATCAATTTCGAAGTGCACGCCGCGTGTCTAAGCAAAATGCAAAGCACCTCACGACGCAGATATCAACGTGGTGGAAGTGTGGACTAGCCCACGTCACGAGTTCGCACTGGCTGTTAGCTTGGCGCGCACCTTGCTCTTGAACTACTGGCAATTTTTAAATGCGAAGCGTTTCTTAGCGAGCTTCGGCGACTTTTAGCGTATCTATCTGTCTATCTATCTAGCCACTCATGACTTTCAGCTCTCCTGGTCGTTTGGATAATGGTATCGATATCAATATTGGTATGGCAGAACATGATTGTATTTCGAGCATACGTGAGTAGTCATAACATGGAAATCATGACATGGTTGTCATGGACTGACATTTCATGATCTTGCTGCTGTTGCAGTGGTTTCGTTCACATGACATGTTGCAAAACTCGTATGGTGTGGCATGACTGCATGGCAAACACAAGCGATAAACCCTAACATGAAAGTCGTGACATGCGTGTAATGTAACATGACTACATGCCACGCTCATGATGCGCTCCTCGCGGCCGTTTGGCTAGCTTCGCATATACCAAACTTGGTATTACGGGACGTGAATGGATGACGTAGGTACGTGACTGGTGCAAACATAATCACGAGATGCGTACAACATTACTACATAATGCGCTCGCGGTCGTTTTCCTAGCTTCACATGTATCAAATTTTCTATTACGTGATGCGAACGGACGACATAGGTAAATGACACGTCCAAACATGATAATAATGACATGCATGTCATGTAACTTGACTGCATGTCACACCATGATGCGCTCATGGCCGTTTCGCTAGCTCCAGATGCACCGAATTCGGTATTAGGTGACGTGAATAGATGAAGGTAAATAACACGTCCAAACATGATAATCATCACATAGAAGTCATGTACGGACGGCATAATTTACTTCTGCCTCATTAGGTTGTGCTACTTTTAAAGTGACAAATCAACCTTCCTCATTCGTGCTTCGCATGTCTGAATTACCACTGTACGTGAGATCTGCCAATTTTTTCCTCGTTCCTGTGGCCTGTGCCTTTGCATGTTTTTGTGGTGGCTGTCAGTGCGGCGCCCGCTCTCGCGGAACGGTCACGTCACAGTCTTGCATGGTCACGTGGACATCGGTTTCTACCTCAACGCTGGGGCTGTTGCTGCCTATAGTTCGGTGCTCTTTGAAACCCAAACTGCTACGCTTTGAAAACGTCTCTAAATGAATAACCGTAGTGCACTCTGAAAAATGAGGTGTCCAGCCGTTAAATGTGGGTGAAAACCTACCTATTGCTACCTACCTATGCTAGAGGGAATTTTCGTTGTCGCAGACTCTTGTGTTTTGTGTCTTGCTAGCCAATGAAGTTCACTATGCTCTTGTGAGTACATTTAATTATCACCTGCTGCAGGCAACGTGATTCTCAATGCGAGCGAGGCTCGCCTCGTGCTATAGTTCGTACATCTGGGCAGGTAGAGAGGAAAAAATATATATTTTCGTATGTACCTAGTTAAGCACTTTGCTAAAGGAGGCAATGTTTCGCCGGAGTCTTTACTCAACCGTCCTTGGTATCGCGTGTAAGACAAATGTCGGCGTATTTAATGTGAAACTTCATTATTGAGTGGAGAAACTGTGGTGGTAGAACAGGATAATGGTTAAGTATAACGTGTCTTGTGAAGTGATTCTGTAAATTCCTATGTGTCAGGAAGTTTGGCGCAGGGACGGCTCTATGCTCTCCCATAGTAGAGTACCTAGTACTGTAAATCGTTACCCACTTTTTCTAAACTCACTTTGACAGCCTAGTGTCCTTGTGTATGGTAGAGTACAACGTACTATAAGTCGTTGAACATTTCATTTCATTTTTCATTTTATTGAGGTTGTTATGACTACATTTTAAGAAATGCACAACACTGATTAGACCCATAGCCATAGGCTAGTAGGGGGGTCTAACAGGAGAAAGTATACAAGCAAAATACAATTTGTATATAAAAAAAATCGGACCATCAAAAACCGTTGATTTTTCAAAAAACGAACAAAAATACAAGATACACATTGTTGCACTTTGTTCATAAATAATGAAATAATCAAGTACAGACAAAACATCAAACTATGTGTAAGGCTTAGTACATGGTCATTACTATTGATCTACATGTAGCAAATATTTTTTGAGTGTGCTCGAGAAAGCCTTAGAATCTTCAATCTGAAGTGATATGTTATTCCACACTTTAGCTCCTGCGAACTGTAGTAAGCGTTCATCATACACGTTTTTAGTAGGTGGAAGATAAAAATTCCGCAATGTCATGCATCTAGTGACGCGGAACGAGGAAGAAAAGATAGATACATCGAAAGGTACATCTGTGTGCAATAACATTATTGATGGTGACTGCGGTTTTA